TGTTGAAATTAAGATGTTTTTTAATTTCAATGGCCTCTCACAGCATCATGGGTAGGTAACCGACTTCTTTTGCAAGGACCTGAGGTTAGTCGCGTGTGCAGGTTTATCCAAGACGTGCTCGCAGATTACAGACTTATTTACGCGGCGGTGTTTGACATTCGCTATATTATGTTCTTTGACGAGGGTACAAATACTTCGCTCGTTTGTCCAATACAAGAAAGACCGCACTCCCAGTCAAGCTTGTAAACTCCTGCATCCTGTAAGGGGATGTTACATTTCACGGGTCTCAGGAACTGAGAAATCTTCCTCAGGGGCTTAAAATAGGACTCTTCCGAACTTGTCTGAAACAACTCTCTCATAAGGTAAAATGGCAGGTTTTTGCTCGACTGTTGGTGGATTCCGAAAAACTACACTAGCTTGTTATAAACGGCTTGTTTCCCGTAGCACCTGTGAGAAAAGTTTCTTCACTCATCTCATGACTCAGCCAGGTACCTTTTAAACCCAACATAATAAATAAATAAATAAATAAATAAATAACGCACACACTCAACATAGCCCCGCACTAGGGAAACCCTGTGTCGCGGGTGCCATGGACACACACATAGACAACCACAAATTACACCCAAACTCACGAGAGAAATAATTGTAGGCCATACAACTATTTCTCTCGGCCCGGGAATCGAACCTGGGACCTCTGCGTGGCAGTCTGGCATGGTAGCCGTTCGGCCACGGAGGCAGTTAAAGATCTGCAACAAACACAGAGACTTTCGTAAGAGTTGCTGACTCGGTCCGTAGCACAGTCGGTAAGAGCGGTAGCCCCGGTGTGGCAACAGACGCTGGTTCGAATCCGGTGAGATCGGAAGAATTTTTCGATCTTTATATCAATTAATAATAGCGTATTTTATTTTTTCACCAACATAATATTAAAATTTGGATGGTGACTAAAAAGTCACCAGTATAGTAATGCGGGGTCACCCGTTATACACGTGTGATACAACAAACAGTAAAATTGCACATTGTAAATTAATCATGTCCAATATGTATGTAATAATTAAAAAGTACAATGTTTGTCAATAAAAATACACTACTTTATTGAAGTATAATACCCCACTGTCGCGGAATGAGTACAGCCATTGTTAAGGATGTAATTTATAGATATGGAGGTCATTATTTGACGTCACGCGGTTACTTAAAAAGTAGTTTAGTTACCGAAAAGATATTGTAATTCTGTGGGTACCGTGTTCCAGATATTCAAAAAAGTACGCTTTGTCAAACGGTTAGATAGCTTCTACGGCAGCAAACACGCGTCGTTACAAAATGTCTAGAAAAGTAATTGTTATCATCGATTTTTATTGATTAACATGATCTTTTACTACTACATTGTACCACTAGTTTGTCACAGGTGTTACTTTCTGGGATAAAATTCGAAAAAACCCAATACAAAAGATCTATAACAAACTCACTCACTCACTCTACGTAAGGTCTGGAAACTCGAAAGTCAAATCACCTTTATCCAGGTACCTAAGCAAATTACACTTGAAACCGTCATATTGATTAAACTCTTACTGCTCATTCGTAAGCCCTATCTACCGACCCGAGAGATAGGGTATTTCGGAGAGACTACGGGCTCGCCGGCAAGACCAGGGTAGGTATAGCGCGCGTCCGAGGCGTCTCTGATGGACCCGGACTTGCGTATGTACTCGTTGGGGTTTGTGGTTAAATGGCCGGAGCGTCTGTCTCATGCGCAACTAGCGCACCTTAGTAGGGCCTGAGGCGAGGAGACGCGCGGGGCACCTGACTGGCCCTTTAAGTCGGAAGCTACGTCCGGACATGGTCGCAGGACACTGCCACCTCCGCTGGCATCTCGGGCAATAGCTCGGAGTGGAGCTGAATATGCTTCTGCCTTTCCAGCCGCTTAGGTTATTGGGAACTGCAGAGATGCCGTTTGTCAGCGTCGGGAAGTGAGCGTCCCTTACAGGTCCGCCACCAATGAAGGGATTTGTAGTGGACTTTAGATTCAACGGCTTAGCGGTGGCAACCGTTAGTTGTGCAATGCGCAACGGGAAATATGCCTACAGCTACGCATCTGGAAAATAGGAAGGGTACCTACTCTACGTGCATCCGGGGCGGCTCCCCCGAGGCACTATCCCCTTCAGAACCGGATGAATTCAGTGACAACCCTGTAGACTGGCTGATCTGGGGTCAGAACCTGAACTTAGAAGGTTCCTGTGCACGCACTGGTTATAGCGCCCTTCTCGTAATACCTTAAGGGTCGGTACTGAGGGTCGCTATAATCAGAATTAACGTAGAAAGTTATGTGGCTGCTCATTCGTAAGGCACATTCCCCTGAGACTCGATTTTTAGCTTAGTTGGCAGAGCGGTGACCATGGAACCTGCAAAGTGCCCAAAACGTTGGGTTGTTTGAGAAAACAAAATACGCGATTTAGTTCCGCAAAAATAGTTTCATTTCCAATGTAACAATGTGTGTGTGTCTGTCGTATGTATATTATCATCATTTATATTTTACATATTCACATTTAAATTTTCATACATCTATTGTACAATATCCCGTAGGTAGGAGGTATCTTCTAGAGATAAGTTCACCTTTGTATATGTCCATTGTAACATGTGTTGTAAGTGTCTCTTCTTTGTGCAATAAAGAATTTATTTATTTATAAACAATGTTGTCGCTTTTAAATTTTAATATGTTAAAATATGTGTATGTTACGAATGTTGATTCCCACCACTCTGCCGCCTTACAAATTGCGCTATATGACAAAATAAAACATATAGAAATCAACTGAGCAACTTTATATTGATCACTAACAACACTTGTGGTCAATGATACTTGTGATGAAAAAAATGGCGGGTTTTTGTAGTTACAATTTTGACCCGAATTAATTCTTAATTTCAGATACGTTTTGAGTTTCTTCATTATTTGCATGTCAATGATTATTTGTTACTATTTTAAGCTGATGGTTCTGTAGCCAATACTCATTAAATAAATGACAACACTGTCAATGAAACACGGATTGCCGTCAGCGCCAAAAACGTTACTTTATTCCATGCTCTAAGCAAAAAACACTCGACTTTGAAGTCAATTGACAAACTCCTTGAATAGCCACTTATGCACGTTGGTTGTAATTATGTTTTTTTTGTAAATGTTATTTTCAGACGGTCGCGTAGGCTTCATGGTTCCAGTGGAAGGCAAGTCTGACGAGTTTGTGGTGGGGGTAGAGCGCAAGTTCCTGGTTGTAAAGTGGGATGGTGCAGACGGCAGCCCAGCCACAGTGGTCAAGGAGATCGGGGAAGTTGAAAAAGGCACTAAGAATCGGATCAACGATGGAAAGGCTGATCCGCGAGGCAGATTGTTTGCCGGTACGGTTTTCTTTTTCAGGCATAGGTACATGGTTATATCGTTTGTGATTTTGTGGAATTTTCCACTGACTACGTAAATTACCATTTCACCTTCAAAGGGAAGCGTGGCCAGCAGCGCTACATATTTCTATATAAGTTGGTTATGGTAATATGAAAGTAGAATAGAATAGTTTCTTATTTGCCAATGTTACGGTGTTACAATTTAAATGTAACTCAAATAAATCGTCACAATCATGATTCAGTTAGAGTTATCTCATTCGTAAGGTAATGCAAAAAGCATAAAGCGGCCAAAATTCTAAGTTTAAAAAATTATGTATCTATCCTAAGATCTATCACCGGCCAAATATGCCATTTGCCCATAAATATAATATAAATAAATATAAATATGGCATAAATTCTACTTGATATGAAAAATACAGTAGTTTAATTTCATACGAATTGTTTTTTCTAACTATCGATTTTTTTCGATTTTTAAATATATTTTGTCAGTTCTCAAAAATATAAATTTCGAATTTCGAAAATCATATTTTTGAATAGAGTTCCGTCTGATGATGTTTTAAAAATTTATTTCTTAACCTTGGATTCAAGTTCTTTAGTCGAATAAAAAAATAACTTTGCAGTCATTGACTTACAATTATATGGACGTCGGGTCCGCGCTAAAAAGTGTCCGCACTTGTAAGGCGCTAAAATCGTATACATATAGAGCGCGACACTCCGCTTTAGTCTTCATTTGTTCTACTGACAGCGCGATACTGCGATGACATTACAATTTAAATTTCGAATAGGTTGACTTGGGACATTTTTTTCGTGGTTTTTGCATTAGACCCGTTGTCCATTTATTTGTAAGTCCATGCTTTGCAATATTTATTTCAGATTGATTAGTAAAAGTGTGAAAGAAGATTGACTTCTACGCACATACATACGTCAACCATGTTATGGATTCAAATGTTACCATGTGCGAAAGGCGGAAGCGGAAGAAGACACGAATTCTAAACTTCATAAAAGAGTTGTCTGTCTGTTGTTGATGATGTTAGTCAACCCATTCTACGTTCCATTGCTCAGCACGTATTTCCTCTAAGAAGAGTGTTTAGAACTTAGTCCATAATGCTGGCTCAATACGGGTTGAGGACTTCACACGTTTTCCATGGGTTGTGAACCTTCCTTCAGGTGCAGGTTTCATCTAGATCGGCCTTTCCCAAAGTGGGCGATAACGCCCCCTTGTGGGCGGTAAGAGACCAGCAATCAATCAGCAGCGATGCAACCGCGCGTTTGTATCGATGCAATCGCCTATAAATCGCAAGTGCCGCTAAAAGTCTCTGTGTGTAATCACTCTTAGGGTGTACGAGAAGGTCACTATAACCTATGCAAGCACGGGGACCTTTTTTCTTTTTATAATACCAAGTATACAAGTCCCATGTGCCTGTAATTTCTCCATCACCACTACCCTTCAAAACTCACATTACTGCTTGGCGGCAGAAATACTAAGGTGGCAGTAATTCTGTTTCTGAAATACTGTTTCATAAGGAGCTCTACTGTTATCTTCTCAGTCCTGATAGGTCCTGACCTCATATTAGCACGTTTGCACAGACTTATCCACCAGATTTATATTTACAATATCCACCAGGCATATTGTAGGCAGGCAGGGTGGAGGTGGCTAGTGCAGTGAGGGTTCCATCGCTGCACTAGGTTCCTTCGCGTTTGGATACCACTTTCCCCATAAAATCAGGTGGAGTGAAGTCACTTGCCTGTCATGTATAAAAAAAAAAAAGATCCGAAACAATATAGAAAAGTTAGATCGAACCCGGGACCTCGGAGAAAGCGACACCATGAAAACCGGTGCGCTAGCCAATCGACCACGGAGATCGCCATTGATCACCTACATTCATCATCAGGCACAATGGGCCACGAGGACCCCCGCGGCGACGTCCTCCACGAGCAAGGCGCGTTGTATCGCCTGGACGGCACCAAGATCACGCAAGTGGCAGACAAGATCAGCATATCGAACGGCCTCGCGTGGGACTTGAAGGAAAAGGCCTTTTATTATTCAGACTCGCTTGAACATTGTATTAGGAGATACGATTATGATGTGGAAACTGGGAACATCTGTGAGTATACCTCTTTATTTCATTCTTAGGGTCGTATTCCAGAACTGTACTCAATGCTCAAGTCAGGATTTGAGCAGACTTGAGTATGATTTCAAGCACTGGAAATACGACCCTAATGGCAGGGACTTGAGTATGATTTCGAGTGCTTTAAACCATACTCAAGTCCTGACTTGAGCATTGAGTAGAGTTCTAGAATACGACCTTTAACGAGCTGGTTATAAGCACAAAACTTCATGCAGTAGTTTATTCAACAAATTCTGCTTGCCTATTTAGACGGCAGAAAGCCATGAGTGATCCGTTTGGCTTTTTTAGGTTTTACTTTTAGGGATTACAGTCTATGGTGTTTTTAAATAACTATTGCTCAAGTTAAAGTCTGCACTTTACAGTACAAACTAAGAAAGGTGTCGGTATGTTTTCGAATATTCATATTAAAATTTAAGTTATAAAAAGTTTAAATTTATATTGGAGGTGGAGCAAATTTTTGGCATCTAAATCCCGCATGTTTGTTTTTCAAATAAACCAACGTTTCGGGCCCTTTACCACGGGACCTGTCTCATGATCACGATTTTATCACAATTGAAAGGTTTGATAAAAAAAATTTTTGCGATTGTTATACACAGGAAATTAAACTATTTTGAACCGACTGTAATTTTTTTTGTGTGAATGTTACGCGTTCTTATTCTTTCGGTATTATTTTTTGTTGGAAAGAGGGTACCTCAGTATTGGTTCCACTTAAATTTGAAGAAAATATTCTACCTCTAAGGGTGGTAAACTAGGGAATGAATCCGATGTCGCGCACTTTCCGGTAACCGATTTCAATAAACCTTGGTAAATAGATGTCATTCCACAAACTTTTGTAACGTCAGTTTTTTTTTTCATAAAAAAAGTTATAATTTCGCGTATGCACGTCTCGCGTTCGCGCTCGGTATGTTGTCGTTCATATAAATACACGGAATTACACCCGCCGCAACGGTCCCGACTCACGCTTAACACTTTCACGCTTAAGTGTAAAGAATTATATATATAAATTTAGTTTGTGTGCTGCCAGCTGCGATAACAAAGGTGTCACTAACTTAGTATTTACTGGAAAACGCTACGCGTTACCTGCACTGATTTTCAGTTAGGTTTTAAAGGAACGGTTGTTAGACGGGGTCTATTCGTTTGTTATTGCAGCCAAGTTGAAGTACTTCTTCGACTTCAAGAAGCACGGCATCACAGAGGGCGTTCCGGATGGCACCACCATCGATACAGACGGCAATCTTTGGGTGGCTGTCTTCAACGGCTCATGCATTCTCCACATCGATCCTCGCACCGACACGCTGCTGCAGAAAGTGCCCATTCCGGCTAAACAGGTTTGATTGCCTTTATTTATTTGTCTAGGTGCAGAAAACCTCGTGGTCTTCGCATTGTGATAGAGCAATAATGAACCACAGCATTGTAACAGGTCCTTAAAAGGGACTATACACTCGTATTTCCGATTCTTTTCCTCTAGCAGTCATCTCATAGACAGTACGACGGACAAAGCTACCGTTACCACAATCGAATTTTGTAATTAGTTAGGTAAACCAAAAAAGTAGGTTTAATTGATCCGCCATTTTGAAGTTACATGTATGTTTCACTCTTCACGCTGATATAAGCTTATTATGGCAGCACGATTCTTCAATCTTGAAAACCACATCACTTGGCTGAAATCTGATTGTACTAAACAAAGTTGTGATCTAGTCGGTCCGTGTCGCAAAAACGTAGTGGATTTAGTCGATCCAAACATAGAAGAGTGTTTTACTGGCACCATCGAGTATATAACCAGAAATAGAGACGAAATAAGGGACATACATTCCTGGTTACTCATGAGTGATACATCACTTATAAATATCAAATCTCGTTTGCACTGAAATATAGGCAGCACCAATAAGTGACCTGTGTGTACGTCTACATATATTCCAAAAATATTCTGTAGTTATTGTAATAATGATAATATCTCTAACAATGGCGTGCTGTTCCATTCGGTGGTGTGGGGAAAAACAGCAAAACATCTAATTATAAAACAAACGGAATCAATCTTCATCGGTACTTAAATATTAAATCTTAGAATAATAACGCATAGAAACCTAGTCCGCACACGCTAAGTGAGGCAAATTGAAGCGCGCCAAAAGGGCCTACACGAGCGGGCGGGCCTTGGGTGCTCAAGGTCAACTTGCACCGCGAACAGATCAAGAATTTTAGCTAAAAATGACGAAATGTGCGGTAAATGAGTGTAAAAATACGTCAGACAAACATAAAATAGATACTAACATCACATTCCACAAGGAAGTAACGCGTTTCAACTTGTATTTTTATATAAATATTCACTAAAACCATTGACTTAATAAAGTCAATGGCTAAAACCGAAAATTAACCTACTACTAAAACTAGCCTACATGAATTTGATTTTTGCCTCACTTGTGACAGTTCGTTTGATATGAAACTATCTTTCTATGCGTTATTATTCTAAGTATTAAATATGTAATTTTGCAATTTTTGTCCGTTATAGTAACTGGTCGAGTTGAAGTGAAACAATCGACGACACCCATTGACGACACCCGTCAATTGTTTCGAACTCGGGCTGGCCAATCGGAGCGCAGTTGTCACAGTAATGATATGGCAGAATAGTTTTCAAACAAATGAAATGACATTTCGTCTCTATTTCTGCCTCAGAGGATGGAATTGGTTTCCATAATCTAAGATTTCCGCTTAAATACTCGATGATTGGCTGACTGAAAATCATTCTAATTTTCTCAAAAAATAAAAAATGGCACAGTTGATTTCAGACCATGACCCACTTACGTTCTTTCTGGACCACATTGAAGTATTAAAACAATTCCAGGTAACCTCAGCGACGTTCGGCGGGCCGAACTATGACATTCTGTTCGTGACGACGGCTAGCTTGAACATTGACGGCGAGCAGAAGCCACCCTGCGGAGCCACCTTCATGGTCACCGGATTAGGGGTCAAGGGACACCCTAATGTCAATTTTAAACTTTAAATATTTATATTCCAAAGGCTGAAGAGTAATTTGAATTGATGGCGCTAGTAGTTTGAACCAAAATATTAATTTCACACAAATATGATTCAAAATGTATTCTATAGCTTTTAAGTTTATTTGAAATGAGCAATCCCTAGAGTTTCTTGCTCATTCTTCTCATGGAGATCAGCATAGTGAACTAGCGTTAAAAATGACGTTACCAAATGTAATTTTATTTTACCTCTGAACCAAGTTATCTCGTCAGCCTTTACTAAGGTGGTCAAGCTATGACTGGCACCACACAGGCTAGTCCACCGTTGGACATTGACCTCTCCTATAGCTCGGTACTGCTGTCAGTCTCTCCATCTGCCCATGAGCCTAACCATCTTGGATGACAGGCCGAATTTAGCCTTGTACCTTTATATCATTAAAAGGAGTTGCGTAAATAAGCCCTTTCATATATACGTATAAATAAGTAGATGTAGTAGTCGTTGTTTAACATTACAGTATTCAGTAGGCCTTATTACATGGCATGAAAGTCGCATCATCTGATTACGCCGTTTCTAAGTTTTATAATTAGTAAAATGTTACAATTTTATTACAACCATTTTATATTATTTCTATTCGGCTATGGCTTAGTTGTAAGAATGAATTGTACGTGCTTATAATTAAACGAAGCAGTGTTTTGAACATTACGTGAGTTGTGATTAAATAAAATGACAAACAGGCAAAAATCCCTTTATGTATCTATATAGAAAATTATTTGTACAAAATAAACAACTAATAAAAAACAATCAGAATTTGTTTATGTTTTACCGCGACACCCCTTACACTATCACGTGCCGGTAATCCAGAGGCTAAAGAGTCAGCATAGATTCATTAAAGACGTATTCCCTCTGGATGGGGAAAGTAACCAAATCCTTATATATATCTCTGGAAGTAGAGATATCTCACGGCATCACTCATTCCGTTGTCAAAGCACCTCCCTCCCGGGCATAATCGACCTTGGCGCACTTGGAATTCTTTAAATAGACAGCGAACCCAAGTCGACCGAAGCAAGGAGAGCATCCACAGGTGGAATTATAGCTCTGAGAGCCCATGTATTTGTGGTGTCTCTCCTCAGAATGTGGCACATCTTTTATCGTGCCTGCACACACAAGGAGCTGTAGAACACCAGTAATAATGCAGTGTCAGTCGCAGAGTACTGCCGTCCATTAACTCAAATGCGGCCAAGTGACAAGTGGCACCAGTTGATGAAAATGGCGTAGTAATGAAAATCGCGAGTGGTCCCCTAATTCGGCCAAATATCCGTTTTAAATAGCATAAGATAGAGCTCAAAATTCTCTTTTAAAAGGTTAGTTAACGTATTCGACTTATCGGAACTTACCCTAATGATGTGTAGCTGAAATCATTTGACAATTTTAATATTCTAAAACTTGGTTACGGTTTTATAAGTTATTTCTATTGTATTAAATATCTACATTTTATGATAGTTAGGGACCGGCAAGAGTACTGCGGGCCTCACAAATATAAACGTCAATGTCGACACGCGAAGAAGAATGTTTTATTTTTTATTTGACTTAGGTGTTTATATAAATAACTTACACGTTTTATACAAAAAGTTAATCATATATGAATATTTACTAATTTTAAAATATATGATCATACAATTTTAAACATGTTTCAATATTTTATAATGGTTTTAAGAAAAATACTAGGGCCATGAATTCGTGCAAACGATGCGAATTTGTGGCGTGTAGCTGAGATATATTAAACGAACCTTGGCTTCAACAAAGGGACTTTAAGGGAGCCACTACACTTATCGACACGGAGTCACATTAACCGGTCAAAAAAGCTTTATGGTTATGTAATTAAATAAATAACGCACGCACTCATAGCCCCGCACTAGGAAAACCCTGTGTCGTGTAGGCCACAATGCAAACTCACGAGAAAAATAATTTTAGCCCATACAAATATTTATTTGCGAGGCAAATCAGCTTGGTAACCGCTTGGACACAGGCAGTAATAAGAGCGGAAAGACGTTCTGCCTTTTGCATTCTCGGTCCGAACGGAATAGCCAATGGGAAACACTGGCTTTCTATGAAATAGTCGGCTTTGCAGTGCTCGACATTTTGTAACTTTGACTCCACAAGAAAGCCGTCCCGCAGCGTCATGTGTAATGAGCCTTACCCTCCAAAACCGGAACGCAGTAATTAATACCACATAACCGCTGGCGGCACAAATAGGTATGATGGCAGAACTTTCCTGGACAAGAAAGGAGCTCTACTGCTACTACGCTCCTTTGAGGAGTTTCATAATGTATAATCACCTTGTGCATCCTGGCTCACGTCTCTCGGCTCTTCTCTATGAACACATATAAATGGCGTATGGAACAAAAAATGTGGTCTGTGGTTGATCTAATCTCTAAACAAAAGAGGTGCCAAACAAAAGATGCCGCTATAAAATGGTTACAATGAAATAATCTCGTAGTAAATTTGGATAACACTACTTATAAGCAATTCTACGTGCCACAAACACGACCAATAAATTTAACTATAAATTACGTTGCACAGAAGGTTGCTCAAGTTGATGAAACAAAATTTTTGGTCGTTACTCTTAATAGTCACTGAACTGGTAACATATCAATAACTTAAATACTAAACTTAGTAAATAAAGTATATGTTCTAAAAAAATCTGACTAAAATAACATCACAAAAAACTGCTCTTTGTTCTTATCACGCTTATGTAGCCTCTAGTTGGCGATATGTATTACTTTGGGGAAATGCTGCTGCAACACATATTAAGCCACTATTTAAAACCCAGAAGAAATGTGTCAGAGCCATGTTTGGTGTGGGTCACCGAGAGAGTTGTGTACCTTACTTTAGGAAACTGAAGATATTAACCCTACCTTCGATGTATATTTACGAAGCCTGTGTTTATGTGAAACAAAATCTAGCAACTTTGATTATAGTCAAAACTAGATATCCTAGAAACACAAGGAATAAAATAGAAATACGGCCCAAACAACGCCTTAATTTTGAATTTTACGGTAGAACGATGTTCGTATTAGCACCCAAATTATTTAATAAATTGCCGGATGCTGCTAAAGAATTAAATTGTTGACAATTTAAAATGAAATTGCATAATTTGTTTGTTACTCAGTGTTATTACAATATTAATGATTTTTTTTACTTCATAACATAAAATGTAAAATTTAACTATTGTATGCATTGACTTACAATTATATGGACGTTGGGTCCGCGCTAAAAAGCGTTCGAACTTATAGGGCGTTAAAATCGTATACAGAGCGTCATTCACGCTCTAGCCTTCATTTGTTCGACTGACAGCGAAACAAGCAAAATTAGACAGTACTGCACATTACAATTTAAATTCAACGTTTTAGCTTTTTCATATTCCTTTACATATCACTACGTTTAAATAGGTTGACTTGGGACATTTTTTTCGTGGTTTTTGTATTAGACCCGTCGTCCATTTATTTGTAAATCAATGATTGTATGCTACATTTTTTTTACTTCTTGTTTTCTGGTTAAATTCCAATTGTCGTAGTTTGCTTATGCTACTGTTTTAATTTAACTTTATTGCATGCTACGTCTAAAGTGAAATAAGTATTGTATATATTCGCATGAAATATTCGCATGCCAAGTTTTGATTGAAATATACGATCTAATTAATATAATAAGTCCATACAAGTCCTGCATTGTTAACTGCATTTTTAAGCGAATAAATATCTTGTATTCTTCTAAATATGAATTTGCTTGCAATGACCATTGGCCTACTGCGCACCTAATGCAAAATCCGTATGAGGTGCATACGTATGGGCTCTGACAGGTGGTGTCTCCCTGTGTTTAGGAGCTAAGGTTTTACAGAAACAAGGAATTCAGTTTTGGAGATGTTTAAAATAACAAACAAAACTTGTTCAACATTACGAAAACACCCCTGCCATGTAAAAGCCGCAGATAACCGCCACCGTATGACTAACATACCGACTGTGGAATTATGTACCACAACGGTAATGAATCATTGATGTCAACAAAAAATAATGACGACTCAATGAATGAATAAAATAAAAAACCATCTTGATGTAAAGGTGATATAATTAATAAAAATTCATTTAACACATTTGATTTAAGTAATAAAATTAGCTCGTGCAAGTTTCCAGGGGATACAGGGTTACACACCATCCATCCATAATGAGCCTCCTAAGGCCGTTGGCCGGGTACGTTTGTGACGGTGTGACCTCCTTACGTCGTCATCCCACCTTTTTATCGCCTTTCTCCGGTTCCTGGCCACTCGTATTTAAATTTAAATTTTGGATTGTTCCATAGCTCTTTTGCCCCTGTTCTTGAAATGATTTATTTACCACGAATTTAAAATGAATAGTATAAATCTCTTTTAACTTGTCTTTTTTTCTTTTGACTTATCTTTTGTATTACATAAAAGATAAATTACAAGAGGGCAATTGTATTTACAAGTACGTACTTGCTTGCTATGAAATAGATTACACACTCAAGTAGCAAAGATACTCTTAAAAAGTTGTTGTGGATATGGACAAGGACAATTTATATTCAGTGTTCAAACACAGTGTTGGCAAAAACCTAAATGCTCTTAAAGTTATTTGGAATAAGTATCCCTCAGGGAAGACTAGGTAAAAATAGATAGTTTTGCAGGGCACGTCGGTAGGGAGTTCAAACTACCCTACCTTCTATTTAAAATTGTCTCCAAGATATTTTTCGGATTTAGGGAAAACAACGTAATAGAATGAATGATTATTTCATAATTAATTAAGATAATTTGGTAACCATTTTGTTATCTTTAATTTGTTACAGAATTATACTTTATTTATTATCTTTCGCATTATTTGCCTAAAATAAAAATTCGTTTTTTAATTTTATTACGAGAAATAGAAATGGAGTCTTCTGATAAAATGTATAGCTATATAAAATGTAGTCGTGTAACTACTAGTAGTTCTGGAGGTAGTTCCACGGGTAACAAAGGGTTTCTCGTATAAAATTAAAAAGTAAAATCTTGAAATTTAAACTAGAAATTTTATTTACTATTTATTTATTCATTTAATTTTAATTCAAACAACATTCGCAATGTGTACAATATTAATAAGAAAATAATAAATGATAACTACTTTCTGTGCGTCAGAGATTGTTAAACTTTTATTTGTGACATAAAGTGCCAGTGCAATATAATTCACTCTAGGGCACTTCCCAGAACACCCAGACCAGCACCAATTTTGAAAAGTTCATTTCTCAAATTGGTCCTACCGGGAATCGAATCCGGAACCTCCACATCCAGCACCCACAATGTTTGCGTCCAAAAAGTTTTACCATTAGGACACCAAGTTCGTCAAATTTATATACATCTATTTTGATATACAGATATTTGATTTGAAACTTTGACGACGTTTATGTTATTTTGATTTGCGAGTTACATTTATTTTTATTATTATATATATGTATATGTGTTTGACATTAATTGGTAAAATTGTTTAAAATAAAAAGATCAAAATATTTTTGTATTTATCATTTAACCATGATTTTATTTGATACAACTAAATACAATTGCAACAGAGAACTGAAACGTTTTTGATCTAAGACTAAATTGACACCATTTATTAAGAAAACTTAAAATTTACTTTAGCTGTTGAATTACTTGTAAAATGATCTCTATAAACTATCCTTAATAATTTGGTGAACGAAAGCTGTTTTTAACACTTTTATCCAATATACTAATTTGGTTATGTGTACCTATCTACCTATATATTATATAGATTTATTGATATGACTCATCCGAAGAATAGAGCCCGATGTGAATATATAGCAAAAAGAGGATAGGTAAGTACATAATCTCGTTATTCAAACTAAGATCTATGTATAGGTGTTTTCAGAATGTTTACGTATTATTTCGTTTCGGAAATGTAAAATGGAACAACGATCTATCTGATGTCCACAGCGAAAAACAAAGAGTGAAATACACAATGTCCTGTGGATAAGCTGTCTTGGTCACAGGTCTTTGTTCTACGGATGAGTCAATTTGGTTTATTATGTTTGCGGTGCTCCAGCACTGCAGCGTCGAAAAACAAACATTTTTAATTTGAGGGCTATATTAAAGAAAATTTGTTTTAGCGCATTATGTGAAATAATAACGCAAACACTCAACATGGCCCCGTATTAAACCCTGTGTCGCGGGTGCCATGGACACACACATAGACAACCACAAATTACACCCTATCTCACGCCCGGCCCGGGAATCGAACCTGGGGCCTCTGCGTGACAGTCCGGCACGATAACCGTTCGGCCACTTGGGCAGTTATAAGCATTGACTTACAATTATGTGGACGTCGGGTCCGCGCTAAAAAGTGTCCGAACTTATAGGGCGTTAAAATCGTATGCAGAGCTTCATTCACGCTTTAGTCTTCGTTTGTTCGATTGACAGCGAAGCAAGCAGAATTAGACAGTACTGCGATGACATTACAATTTAAATTCAACGTTTTAGCTTTTTCATATTCCTTTACATGTCACTACGTTTAAATAGGTTAACTTGGGACATTTTTTTCGTGGTTTTTATATTAGACCCGTCGTCCATTTATTTGTAAGTCAATGGTTATAAGTATGTAATTTGTAGATATGTAATATGATAATTATAGGTATTTACCAACGCTTTGCACGAGAACTCACTTTGGGTTTTCAATACACGGAAATATTTCTCCAATTAATCGGAGTAATTAAATAAGCGGTCTGCCGATTGAAAATTGTTCGCATAGAAATAAACATGTACAATCAACGCGTCAGCGTTCAAGGCAATCTCCGTACAGTTATCCAGCCTCCAAGAATTTGCTTTGATTTAGTGTGGTGGTGTTACGAGTTTTTTACTACCTCTATACAAATCTTCTTAAACAATACAAGCATATTTAAAGTTTTACTATAGTTATTATTTGCCGAAAATAATTTTGGAATTGCGTTTGTAACTGCTTGTAATAAATTATTTTCGTAGAATCTTTACTTTATGGTACTCTATTTTAAACACGTAGAAAGAAAAATGGCACAAGCGAAGTTTTATTTTTTTTTTATTATTATTTATTATTTTACAATTTACAATATTAGTCGATAGAATTACAAGAATTGGAGAGGATGTGGGTTATATTTTTCTGTATCTAATAGAGCAATACACATGTTTGACGTAACTCCACTTATGTCATGCTTCCATGAGGGGTGCGTTCATCGCGCAGTATTCAAAAACGTTAGATTAAATATTATACTTATGACATTATGATAAAACTTGGTACTTCTACTTAAAATTTGTCGTCGTCGTCTAGCTTTGCAACGAGTTTCATGTTAATTTTAGCGCTAACATTGGTGTAGCCCTTCACCCCCAAGCCGGTGATGGCATATAGGGAGCCATGTGGTGGCGGTTGCGGCCCCTGCTTGTTCTTCGCTATTGAAGTCATGTAGAGGATGTCCGAGTTAGGACCTCCGAAGGTGCAAGACGTTATTTGCCTACCAGGGACCGATACCTTTTGGAGAAGCTGATTTCTGCGAGGGTCTATTTTCAGTACCTACACAAAGTAATGACAAGTTTACTGATTTTACAGATTTTAACAAGTTTTATGGCCCAGTTCAGATATTTGATAACAGTGCAACGGAAGTGTCATAACGGAAACAGATGTGAAAAGTAAATCTTTGCGAAAACGAAAGCGGAAGCGGAAGTGTAAAAACTACAAAGATCTTAACGAAATAGTTCCAAACATGGCTTGTGTTTAGTTTCATAGTTGCAAAATTGCTAAGACCCACGCGCCCCACCGCCATGCTATACGCGCGCGCCTGATCTATCGCGAGCGTTATAAACTTCTGATAAAGTTTTGTTATAAAAGTTGCGGAAGCAGAAACGGTAACAGATGTGAAAAAGCGTGCGGAACTTCCGTAGTTGCAGAATCCGAACTTTGTTGTATCACTTATCTGAGCCGGGCCTGACATAAATGAATTAATTAATTTATTTATTTCTTCATTAAGGCTTAGACTAACAGTAACAATGACTAAACATGTAAGCCATAGCCAATAAGAGTTGAGTTGATGTGGTAATTACAGGTTTCACTTTGTTACACAATTGTATTGATTGTGAAATTAATACATAATCTCATTAAAATATGTGCGTGAAAAAGGCGCCAAGTTCAGAATCGTCCACTATCTCTTTAAATACTTTTAATTTTCGCTGTAAATCACCTTTGTCTGCGCTTATTTTAGTTTAAAAAGTTAAATTGTTGCTTGCTTACTGAAAAATCTAGAACTTGGCCAGCTTTCACATAAGAACCATTTATTTATACTTAACAACATTACCGTAAATATCGTAATGATATTACAATGATTATTACGTGGAACGGAACTAATACAAAATTATATAACTCCACGCCAAATTCCAAGTTTCGAATTTAACTGAAAGTGGCTAAGTTACTAAGTTAATAACAGTTTCACCATATTTATGATGAACGTTATTAGTTACGGGATTTTGAGCAAAATAGATTTGAAGCTGTCATGTAGTTAAAAGGTATAATATGTATAAAGGTCGCTACCGAGGGTGCGACTGATTATTTTGTTACTGTACAGGGACAAACTAGTGACGCTAAAGACGTCAACTAGTGACGTCCTAGATGGAGTTAGAGCGTACGTAAAGTCTAGCGTGTCTGTCTATACTGGTATGTAATAACAAATCTAATTCTGTACAAGGGTATCAAGGTACCTGGTATCCATCGAAATTGGCGACCCAGAGGTTGCCGTCGATATCAATTGTCATCGCGTCCACGATGCCCGCCAGCCCGTGCTCGCTTAGCTCGAATACCGAGCGTGGATTCGCTGCAAGCACATTGAACACATACATGACTAAGTATCTTATTCGGTTGAGGCGTCCTTAAAGCCGTCTAAAAGTGCCTACTGATAAAATGGGGGAAGCAGTGGTGGTAGAGCTCCTTGTGAAAGTTCGTCCAGGGAAATACTTAATGCCGCCATTCCAATTTCTCCCGTTTAGCACTAATGTGAGGGTTGCCTATTGCGTTCCCGTTTTGACGGGTAAAGGCGCTGGTGAATCTTCAGGTACATGGGATTTGTCAATTTTACTTCTCAGGGCATTTTTTGTTTTTTATAGTATTAAATAACGGGGCGAACCAGTCGTGCGCCTGATGGTATAAGTTACACGCCTATCCATAACGGTTGCAGTGTCACTAAGAGCTTTAAACCGCAAAGATCTGAAGGGTACCGTCACTGCGCCCGTCACCCTGAGATATAAGTTGACAAGTCCCACATGCAACTCGTTCACAAGGAGCTCTACTGCTAAGTGGTAACAGGTGCAGGGCAGTGTCCCCCGCAGGTCTTTACGATTTAAATCTCTGACTGGTACTGTAACTGCCATGAGTAAGGGTGTTGTTTACCACCACAAGCACATGACTGTTCCATCCATTAGTAAAATGCAGGAGTAACAGCATGTACGCATGTATAAAAATAACTACGACACAATATGCCATGATATTGACATACGCATAAGTGGGCCGATTACTTCAAAAACTCTAATTCGCGTTTAAAGCTCGCATTCACGACCAGTGTATTTTGCCGGTGCTTACGTATGAAGCTGAGACCTGGGTTTCTAAGGAGATCCTCCACAAACTTCAGGTAGCTCAAACAGCAATCGAAAGAAAACTGGTAGGAGTTACGCTGAGAGACCGTAAAAGAAACAAACGGGTCAGAGAGCAAAGTAAAGAGAGTTACTAAACGGGTTGCGAAATTAAGATGGGAGTGGGTTGGTTATACCCCCAAGAAAGGGTCCTGAAACCGTGGGGTGAGAAACGCCCAAGAGGAAGACCACAAATGTGTACGACTATATCAAAGGATTGGCGGGAACAAAGTGGTTAGATACTGCTCAAGACCGGGAAAGATGGCAAAAATTGAAGGAGACCTACACCTTAGAGGTTGAAAACGGCGAAGAGAAGGAAGAAGAAGAGCACGAGACATGTCAGTAATGACAGAAACGCTCAGTGTACATGTATTTTATTGTTGAAGGTATAACGAAGTAGGGAAAAGAAGTGAAGTGAAGGAAATGGAAAAGAATGGTAGGCTGTAACAAAAAGAATGTTATAAAAACAGATACAATAACATAAAAACTAAAAACACTCCATAAAGATTAGACATAAATGTAAGTGAACTTATTCCAAAAGGGTCTGTATTCGTATGTGATATATTGCTGTTTTATAAGCACTTAGGTTTACATGACTGAAGGACATGTCTTTTCTCCTCGGGAATTTTGATAGGAATGACGACGGAACGAATCAAAGGAAGAATGATTGTGATGATATGACGTCATTCACCTTTTTATCGTCTTTTCGCTGGTTCCTGGCCATTCGGCCATTTTAAATTTTGAATTGTCTTTAATAATTTCTTTTGTCTCGCCATTCTGATTTTGTTTTGTTCCATCGTCACTCCCTGCGAAAACGATTCGAAATTCGAGGCCAGGAAAAAGAGAAAACGGTGATTAAAAGGTGGGATGACGATGGAGGAAGTCGCATCGTCACACAAGTACAGAAAAATGGTTCACGGACATCAGTCGTCTATGAATTTTGAAGGTATTTCTGACTGGCACCTAGATACAGATATCCAAAAAATGGTACATTCATCAAGATAAAATGCAATTTACGTGCGGTTCGATCCAGATCGAAAAGGACCAACTCAATTAATTTCAGAGTTACTAGGAATGTCGGAAACCGCAAAAAAGTTTTACTACACACTTCGTAGGGACATTTAATAAATCAGTAATTTCATTATATCTTCTAAATTGAAATAAATCTCTCCCACTATTGATCCCGAGTGTATCTCGGCTGATCAAGCTTATTAATGTCGGCGCGTATTGAACCGTTACGTTAGAATAAGAAGAGCAGCGGTAGTTTACTTCACAATGAGAGGTTAATGGTTCGAATCCCTGTGTAATTTTAATGTCTAAATTAGGTAAATTCGTAGTTAATGTTTAGTAGTAAAACGTCTCGCTAGGGAAAATAAACTAAGTGAACGGAAACGTCATGATGAAACCTGCATGCCGAAGAAGGTTCACAACATTTGGAAAACGTGAGAAGTCTACAAGCCACTCTGGGTCCTCGTGGCGGACTCTGGCCCGTCCCCAATGGACAATCTCCACATAGAGGACGAGTGTTAATGTAAATAGAAAAAACTAAGAATGTTGATGACTAGAATTTTCTATATCATTCCTGTTACAAGTAGAAAATCCCGATCGGCATCATAAAAATACAGACCGTCAGCTAAATTCGTAAACCTCGTAACGGCCATTCTTACAATGCGTGTTCTCAGCCTAATTAACCGTAGCCATTTCGGTGTTCTCAGCTTAATTAACCGTAGCCATTTCGGGGTTCTCAACCTAATTAACCGTAGTCGTAGCCATTTCGGTGTTCTCAGCGATTAGGTAATTATACCGTAGCCATTGTTTTTTCTCGTTTACTATACCCAATAACATTGAAATATGAACAACTTTAAGTTAAACTATCAATATGTCTAAATGGCATCAGAATAGACAAAACAGTTTTCCAGTTATTAAGACACAAATATTTTATGGAAGCCATGGATTCAGTTGTGTCAGAAATAGTAGGTTTTTCTTAAAAAAGTTTCAACTTTCTAATTATCGTATCCATGGCTACGATGATTAGATTTAATCACTGTTCCCATAAAATATTCGTGTCTCAATAATCGTTAAGTAGACACAAAAACAGAATTACTAGGAATAATTATATGACAATCTATGATTATACTTTAGGTACTTTATAATTGAAAAAGGTCTACAAATTATGTTTTAAGCTTTCATTGTCTGATATTTGTCCGTTTGCGTCACGGATTAGAAGGATAAGGGTGCTGGTGAAAAGACAGGCACAGGGACTTGTCAAATTATGTTTATGTAGGTTAGGCATCGAGTATATAGCCAGGGTTAGGATATACCTAAAAACTTACAAATATCTCCCGTGTCGATATCGTAATCGTATCTCCATATTTTGTTCTGGAAGGAGTCCGCGAAGTAGAAAGCCATCTCTTTAACGTCCCAGCTAAGGCCATTTGTCATGTCTACGGCGGAGATGACTTGGTGCAAAGAGCCGTCGGCATCTATGCGGTATAAAGAACCGTTCCGAGACGTCTCATCGATGTCGATATCTATGGGCATTGCACCTTAAAAATAAAAAAATAATTTCGATACCGTTTAATAACATATTTTATTCAATGCTCCCATACATGTACCTATTATAATTTAGTACAGGGTCAAGAGCACGTCAAGCTTGACACTTAAGATTTAAATCCAAATCTATGCCGATTATGATAAGAACGGCCCAAAGTACAAAGTGTCAAGCTTGATTGTTACAAGAATTGATAGCTAAGCAAACAAAAATGTCCGTTGTCATCTGACAAAAAGACAGAAAAAATTACATTAATATAAAGAGATAAAAAAAGATAGAAAAAAAACATCAACATTACCTTAATGTACGGTTACATCATAGCCCTGTTGTATAAATGACTACAGTTAGCACTATTATTTCTTCAATTCAGTAGTCTTCTTTAGACATAAGTTAAACATCTTAGAATAAGTAGCGCAGTTCAATATTGAATAATGAAGATTTCCAGTTTTTCCCGAACCATAATCATGTTCGGGAAAATTGTGTTTTTAACCAACTACAAAAAAATGAGGAGGTTCTCAATTCGTCTGTTTTTTTTATTTGCTAAGCGATAACTCTCGCGATTTGGGGGTTGATGTTGTTCGCTTCCGTAGGTTTACCCTCAAGACCCTACATGTGACACGTGGGGTGGTGCTAAAGTGCAACAACTACTGGTGGTAGGTTTCGGCCGTGTCTAGTCACCACCCTCCCGACGCAGTCGAGTCGCCAAATGGTTTTCACCGTGTTCCGACACGTGTTCGGGAGTTGCCATTAGGAGGTCGTGTTTGAACAGCTGCATTGCGTCTGAAGACGAGTTGTAGCTGCTTGTACTGCCACACGGAGCACTCGGTTCTGGAGGCTAGGGGGATCCGAAGCACGGTGCACCGCTGGCCGACCGTGGAATGTTGGGGGCCCAAGTAGCGGGAAAGCCACCCGTGAAAGGCTGCCCCGCCCAACCCAAGCCCAACCCAACGAAAAATTCCGGAATGCTCCACCTGGCCGGTTGGCGACCGGAACGGAGGACCAGGAGGCCACCTCCGGGGGGGTTCGGACGTCCCCGCGGTCTGCAAACCGATTGTACCCTCGTGTGGCAGTGTGAGCTTTGCTGCTTGGTTGAACACAACGCAGTGCCTCGTTCAACTACCTTCCTCTTGCCTATTCACTTCCCTAAAACAATGAAATGAAAAGCAGAAACAGAAACAAGTTTACACAGCGGTTGCACGGCCTCCCATTAAAAGTGCACTTCACTAACATCCGAGGTCTGCACTCAAATCTCGATTCGGGCCACCATCATCTTTAAACCGATAAACTGCAGCTGCTGTTCGTCGCCGAGACGCAGATCAGATGTCCGATTGACACGGCGTACCTCAGCTACCCCGGGTATGCTCTGGAGCACAGGTCAGTCGTGCTGAAGCACAAAAGCAGTCCGCGTACCAAGCATGGGCAGATGCTCTATTGCGTAAAGCTCCGAGTACTCGGAATCTGAAGAAAGCTTTGAATATAGCCGCCAATAAGTGCAAAAGCGTGTTATGTAGGGCCAAGTTCGGCCAAGTGCATCGCATAGGGGGCAAGCTTGCCTCTTATCCAGCAAGTATCAAATCCTTTTGGTCCCTGGCCAAACCGGTCTAAAGTTACTTTTGTCACCCATCTTTGCCACCTCTACTGAGGCCGGATTGTACGCTGGCCCATACTGTAGAAGAGAAGGCGAATCTCTTTGCCTCACTCTTTTCAGAGAGTTCCCGTCTAGATGCCGCAGGGAACCTACCACCTACATTTCCTCAGGCTGGCTGCACTATGGCGCCAGTTCGCATACGCCAAAAAGAGGTACTTAAAACTCTGAGGAATCTTGACGTGAAAGCGAAGCACTTGCATTGTCTTTGGACATTTCAATAGCCTTTGACGGGTCTAGCACGCAAGCTTTTTAAGTAAGCTTCCATGTTATGGGCTTCCCACTGTCCTTTGCAATTGGATCTCGGATTTTTGGAGCTTGAGTGGTCTTACAAGACTACTCTTCCGAACATCAGACGATAGATATAGATAGATAGATAGAGTTCCTCAACATTCCGTACGGTGGTGACCATATTGTCAAATTTAATGCTACCAAAACGCAGGAGTGTCTATTCTCCACAAAACGGAGTCCCTTTCACATGACTCCGACTTTTCGTGATATATCCATACCGATAGCCGACCGTCTCCAGCTACATTGAATCCATGGCCAAAAATGCAGCCAAGAAGCTTGGCATCCTTTCCAAGGTGAGGCGTTACTTCACACCGGACAGTTGCTTCGGCTGTATCAAGCACAAGTCCGGTCGTGTACACGTACTGCTGCCACCTTTGGGATGGCTCTGCTACATACCAACTGGCCACCTTGGATTCAATTGACAGCATGCCAAGAGGCTTATAGGTGACTCGGAATTAGTAGACGTGAAGCTGCAGAGCCTTGAACACCGCCGTAAAGTTGCCTGTTTATCGGTATTTATGATATGTCATGGATATGTCAAGGAGAGCGTGCGATGGAATTACACGATTTAATTCCGCCTTCCCCTTTCCATCATCAGGGGACTAGGCGTTGGCTTGGCTTCCACCCCTATGTTGTGGATATTTCAAAGATTCACACGAAGCGTTACGCTTCCACATTTATATGACAAATGGCTATGGGGTGGAAGTCCCTGCCTGCAGACTTGTTCCGTGAATGTTATAACTTGGACCTTTTCAAGGCGAGAGTAAATAAGCAATATTTAGGTATGCATGCTACATCGTCGACCTCATCGTCACTTTCCATCAGGTGAGATAGAGGTCAAACGCACACTTACATTTGAATTATAAAAAAATAGATTCATGAACCGATTTAGATAATACTTTTTTTGGAAGGAGGGTACCAGTATTGGTTACATTTAAATTTGAAGAAAATATCTCACCTCTAAGGGCGGTAAACTGGGGGATGAATCTGGTTTTGCGCACTTTCCGGTAACCGATTTTAATAAAACTTGGCAAATAGATTCCACGATTCCACCAACTTCTAAGGTCGGTATAAAAAAAAAAAGTTTTTTAAAAACACTTCGAGGCTTTTATGCTTAGTTACACGAGCTTTATTAGTGCAGGGGAGTGGGGTGGTTGGGGACATCTGCACGTCCGCGAGAAATTTATAAGCGAGCAATACATCAACTCATGTCGGTAATATAAAGATGAGACTTACCAACGAACACCCGTCCTCTGGGATCAGCTTTGCCTTTGTCGTACCGTTTCTGATCTTTTTCGACTGTGCCTTTTGCGACCACAGTATTAACTTCTTTGGCCGTGCTGTCAGGAAAGCCTGACCACTGAATCTCGACCACGCGGTCGTCAAGGCCAACGACGTAGTGTTGAGGGTGGCCTTCGATTGGGATTATGAACGTTGGTATGCCATCTGCGGAGAACAACATTATGATATCGAGTTCTTAGATTTTCCCGATTGTTGCATTGGAATTTTCTAATTTCTTTTTAATTCGTAAAGATTTAGTGAGGTCATCAAGTATATGAGCTTCTTTCTGCTCATATACTCGATGACCTCACTATAATAATGACCTTTCATGTCTATTTCTGTAGACATGAAAGGTCTATTTCTATAGTCATTTAATTTGTTTGAAAACTATTCTGCCAAATCATGACGGTGACAACTGCACTCCGATTGGCCAGCCCAAATTCGAAAAAATTGACGGGTGTCGTCATTTGTTACACTTCAAATCGACCACTTTAAATTGCTGCTTTGCGATAATGGATGAAAATTGAAAAATTACGTATTTCATATTTAATTACCGATGAAATGTGATTCCGTTTGTTTTTAACCGACTTCAAAAAAGGAGGAGGTTCTCAATTCGATTGTATGTTCTTTTTTTCTTCTTTTTTTTGTATGTATGTTACGCGATAACTCCGGAATTTGTGAACTGATTTTCATGATTATTTTTTTGTTGGGAAGGGGGTACTTCTATAGTGGTCCCATTTCATTTTGAAGAAAATCATCCACCTCGAAGGGTGGCTGCTCACGCATGAAGATTCATTTTTATAACTAGCGCCTAACTTTAATTTAGGAGCAATTGCTTTAATGGTTGATTTTGCTATTTCTCCAATTCAAGGCGTTTTTCTCTCGATATACTTTGATTAGTGAGAACCGATTTTTATTATCTCCCGTGTCAAGTCTGCTGGTTGATGACTGTGTTGGTATTCATCTGAGTTAGCCAGACTCGAATTTTTTTTCCGAAATAACGTTTGTTCGGATTTTCATTACATCGAAAACAGAATTATAACGAAACCGTTCAAAGTCAAAGTCAAAGATTATTTATTCCATAGGTAAAATAAATTTACACTTGCAAACGTCACAGTTAAGCTACTGCTCGTTCACTACGCTGACCTCCCTGAGAAGAACGAGCAAGAAACTCTAGGGATTGCTCTTTTCAAATAAACTTAAATGCTATGGAATACACTTTGAATCAAATTTGTGTGGATTCTGGAGCCATGTCGTCTTTCCATACATCTTTATCTAACACGTAGGTAGTCTTCAATTTTGTAATATGATTTTTCGATCAAAATATGTATTTATTGTTCTTTCAGGATATGTTGGATGTTTATCACAAAGACGACTACGTTCAGTTAAGTTAGGTTTAAAAGAAAAAACATTTTCCTCAAATTACTTTCGAGGTTATGAAAATTCGAGCAAACGTTATTTCTGGGAAATGCCGTTTCGGACTACTGATAGATAACCGAGTTAGCCCGTAACGTCGGTTTGTTTATAAAAAAAAACAAATATAAGTAGATACGCGATTTGGATCTCAAAAATATAGTTTCTTTCCCAATATTATGATATTTTAATCATTTTGGAAAGGCTTTTGTAGATTAATACCTGTTCAAGGGTGTCTACTCCCAATCTCCGTCCGAATATCTCGCGAATGAAACTTCATACTTGATATTATCTTTAGATTTGGTCGACTATAACTTATTTGACAGTCATTGCTTCTATAATTTTGTTAAGAAACAAGATACCGGACGTGTGGCGTTAGTAATTAAGTGAAAGCTTTAATAAGTACATAGTTTTAAATAACCGCTAGGGAACCAGCCCGTCGACTTACTCTTGGCCAGTTTTTTTTAATTAAAGTTACAGGCTTTTGACAAAGGGAGTTGGAAAATGAAGAATAGGCCTTACTAAGCTCCGCACTGGTATGCGTCTCCGTGAGGGGGGTGTATTTGTGGATGGTGTCGCCTAAGGTGCTCACGAAGAACAACGCCTGCGCGCTAGCATCCCAGTGGGCACCTTCGCCAAACAACACGGACGGCCCCACTGGCTTCACTGATATAGACTCCTGGACATTAAAAAAATTTACATTTGCAATAAAATTAATTTCATTATAATATAACCACTGAATGGTTATTCACAGTAGTGGTTCACTAGATATACATTTTATTATTCACTACTTACTACACTTGTAGGAATTTTTCCTACCCCACTCTTTTCCTATTGTTCTCGGTTTTTGGGCAACATCTGGCCAGTCTTTTAAAAAGGAGTCTAAGTCAACGTATAGTCTCTGATTTGAGTTATGGGGCTTCCACTCCGTGGCTGTCTTGGCCGAAAACTCGGCACACAACGATCAAAAACAACGAAAAAAATCTTTAGGTATCGTCTTCGCAAAACTATGATCATATTGGTTGACACATTATTACTTATCAGCATCCAGTTATACAATTTCACATATATATATAGTTTCATGTAGTTTGCATTATTTGCACATGTGACTTTATTACACTAAGCGTAAGATTAATCACGAATTTTATACCTCCGAAGTGTTTCGTGGAACCCGTAATGGTTTCCATCTTTTGTGTAAGCATAGCTGTATCCAATAATGCCACATGCAGGTATAACATCACAAACGGATAATTTAAAAAAACCAACGTGAAACTATGTATATGTTCGAGTAGGCGAAGACCGATCAGTAAGACATGAGCCCTCGGGTTGTGAGGATTTAAAAACTAAGTTCTCCTCACGTTCTCCACGAACATGAACTCAGAGAGTCCCGTCAGACATGCCGACGCGGAATAGACTTGAGGGCCTACCCAAATACAGATATATGCATACGCGATTTCCGCTTTTTTTATATAATACTAAGTGACGGGACGATCAAGTAGTGCGCCTGGTGGTAAGCGACACGCTATGCCCATCCAATGCCACTAAGAGCTTTAAATAACAAAGATCTGAGGGGTAGGTACTGCCACAGCACCCGATACCCTGAGATATAAATTTGACAAGTCCCATGTGTCTATAATTTCACCAGCAGCCTTACCCTACAAAACCGGAACGCAGTAATGCGCGCATTACTGCTTGGCGGAGAAATAGGTGAGGTGGCAGTAGGTGCTTCATTGGACGAACTCTTTCACAAGGCGCTCTACAGCTACTACCACCGCAGTCGGTAGCGAAAAATGCCGCCCGGTATCCGGGAAATTTGTAAGAAGCTTCACGGCTAGGCATACTTCCCAGGTAGGCGGTATCTTTTCGGTTGCCTTGCGAAATTGGTTAGGTTAGGTAGTAGCAGTAAATTCATCGCCTCCGCATACCCCGCAAGTCAGTAAGTGACGATTAGTTCAAATTCAAATTCAAAATAATCTTTATTTCATAGGTAAGCATTATTACACTTGAAATCGTCACAATGGTGAAACTCTACCGCTCATTCGTAAGGCAGATTCCCCTGAGAAGAATGAGCAAGAAACTCTAGGGGTTGCTCTTTGTAAATAACATTTACAATATTTTTTTTTATTTGAAACATCAGAGATCGAGACTACCTCCATGAGCTAAACGGGTTACTACCACGGATTTTTGTCATCCAAGTACGCAGAAGTTGTATAATAACCTTTAGTATAAAGTTTTTGTTTCACTATAGTTTTAAACCTCGTGAAAGGCAAATTTTGTATATCAACCGGAACCTTGTTATAGAAGCGTATACATTGCCCCTTAAATGTTTTTTTGACTTTGTGAAGACGACTATCAAGAAAAGCTAGTTTATTTCTATTCCTCGTATTAATGTTATGTCTGTCACTATTTTTCATAAAGAAATTACTATTCCTTTTAACATAAATTACATTTTCATAAATGTACTGTGAGGCTAGTGTAAGAATGTTCATTTCCTTAAACTTATCTCTCAAAGATACTTTGGGGCCCTGATTGTAAATTGCCCTAACTGCACGTTTCTGCAGGACAAAGATTCTATTGATGTCGGCGGCATTACCCCAAAGCAAAATGCCGTATGTCATTAGACTGTGAAAGTAGCTGAAGTAAACCAATCTAGCGGTTGACACAATGGAAAAACTTATTTGATGATCACGACGTCGGAACAATCAAATGACTTCATTGATGAATTACACGTTACTCACAGTTATAATGAAGCCGATTCTCTGTCGACGCGATGGGAAATTCGCTTGAAGCAGATACGTTGCTGACTCGGATGAGGCGATAGGAACATAAAAGTAGTAGCAGTAGAGGTCCTTGGGAAAGAGTTTGTCCAAGGAAGTACTGCCACCTTACCTATTTCTGCCGCACTGGCACATGGGACTTGTCAACTAATGTCTCCGGGTGAGGACGTAAGTTGCGATTTAAAGCTCTGAATGGCGTTGCACCTGTTATGGACAGGCGTGTCACTTACCACCAGGCGCATGACTTGTTTGTCCCGTCACTTAATGTTACAAAAAAAAGTATTTTCAGACCGACTCAATGCTATTCCGTGTCGATAAATGCGTCTAATATTAACCGTTTCAAAGTGAGTTTTCAGCTGCCAACTTTAGCTTTAGTTACCGTTTCATTCTGCTGAGCAAAGACGTCTTGACTCGAAGCAAAGATTATATACAAAATGGTTAAAAACATGTTTAAACGAAAAAAGCTAAACATCTGCAACCACTTTTTAGAAATACGACTCGACCGTACGTATTGATATTTTTGTATTTAAAATCGTTATATATTCTTATTATAATACTAATTTTAGAACTGATATGTTGTTATTTTACACGAGATTTCACGTTTTCATTTAATTAATTTTTTCTTAGAACATTTAATTTATGTGTCGAAATTAATTTTTCACCGAGATATAATTTAATAGCAGTCGTAAAACACACGTGACAATCGGCACTTAAACTTGTTTCTTTATCACACAACTTTCTAGTTTTTTTCTGAATTCAACGCAGCTTCAAGATAAATTGGCGAGAAACGAACGAGATTAATGTTCGTACCGAGCAAGCGCAGCCATCGAGTGCCAGAATCGCGTTTAGGACATTTCTTAACATGTTTTAGACCCTGATCCCTGATTGGTCCCTACCGATCCCCATTGCGCGCTGAAAAGTCCTACGGGAGCGGTAGGGGTCGCGGAAGCAAATTTGGGGGACAGTTCTGTAACACCTAAAATTATGGCTGTGGATTCCTCGACGACGAAGATCATGATAGGTATAATACCTACCTGGTAAATATTGCGAAGAATTAGTCGGAAACAGCCAGGATCACAGCAATGACTGCCAGATGTTTTGGTCGTATACTTGCCCATGTGCCACTTCAGTGTACACTGGTTCTGGCAGTTGTGGCAGAGCCGTTTCCGTTCCAGTCCTTGACGCGTCAGTGTATTCCCATGGGGAACGCTTTTGGGGCTACTACAATGGCATTTTCCTCGTTGTTAACATGGCCCCTCAAATACCATATCGTGAAATTACGGGGCAGTAACAAATATCTAATGTAGATCCGTTTTTACCAAACGTGGTACCTATCAACAACTACAAAAATAACATAAGCAAACATAATAATAACTATGCCTGCTAACACAACAACCAACAATACAAACAAATTGTATCCAACAATTTGACAACGCATTATAAAATTGGTTTATTTTTATTTGCATACGAAATAATTGAGCAATACCTTAAAGAGAGCTAGTTGGGACCGATTTTTAACCGATTGAAAAAAGGAGGAAGTTTTCAATTCGACTACTTTTTTATGTATGTCACCGTAACATAACATATTTGTATGTATGTAACATTGTTACGCGATAACGCTTTGTGAACAGAATTTGGTGATTATTTTATTGTTGGAAACAGCGTACCTCAATATTGGTCCCATTTAAATTTGTAGAAAATATTCCAGCTCTAAGGGTGGCAAACTAGGGGATGAATCCGGTTTCGCACATTACCGGTAACTGATTTCAATAAAACTTGGTATATAGATGTAATTCCAACTTTTGAGGTCGGTTTTTTTCGGTACTCTGTACTGAAATTCTGTCGAAAACGATCAGACGCGGAGGAAAAATTATAAGAACAACATGTGTTTATCTTAGTTGAATTTACTCGGAATAGGTACCAAAAGTAATTAATAATAATGTTGAAAAATGTTGATATTTTTTTATATAAATTGAACCCAGTCCGACACACAAATCCTATCCTAGCTTTTAAATTTTTCGTAAACGTGATTTTTTTAAATAAATCGGTTAATCAAATATAGTATTTTCGACTTGATGGCATGTATAATAAGGAAATTAATTTGTTTCAAAAACCGCGTGTTGCAAATACGTCTAACAATAATCGCGATGCACCGTTAACTACCGCAGTTATCCACAGCACATCACCATCGAGTATTTATGAGCCAACGGTAGCTACTTGCGCTTATTATTATAAGAACAGACATATCGCACTAATATTACAATAGTGTTGTAACTCAAAATATGTGAATTACAGGATTAAATCATTGCTGAAACCAAAGTTTGATTCTCAACACGTTGATAGAATATTGTAAAAAACAATTAAAATATATCTACTTTACTCAAAATGAGATAAACTTTATGTGAGTTAGTTCTGGCCAAAACATACAGTCCTTGCTCAAAAATATTAAATTATTTCTTCCCTTTTGTTTTTAAAGAATTGGGCCAGTAGGAAACTGTTTAGATGTCAGTAATAAACTTTACCCTATACGTCAATTTTAATGGTCTTTCACGGGAAGTGAGCATTCGTTTTTCATCGATCCTGAAAAAATACACTTTTTGAGTTAATACACTATTGCATTAACAGTGCGTATTGTAGATGAATGTTTTGCTAAACAACGTACTGAGACAAGTGTAACAGGCGCCTCGAGTTATGTTAAATTATGCCGCAAGCACTTCATTATCTTTGATAGATTGAGAATTTTGCATAGCTTGTAAGTCAGAATTGGCTAACTTTTTGACATAACGATACCTAGTAATAATTCGTGTGTCTGGTGGTAAGCGACACACCTGTCCATACAGTTGCAGTACCGTTTAGAGCTCGCCTGTCACCCCAAGACATAAGTTAACAAGTCCCATGTGCCTATAATATCACCAGCACCCTTCAAAACTGAATCGCAGTAATGTTCACGTTACTGCTTGGCGGCAGAAATAGATACAGTGAGAGGCCTGGGCGAACTCTTTCATAAAGAAACTCTACTGCTATTATAACAGAAAGTAGAAGGTATGATTAATTCGTTTCTCCCAAAGGGCATCAAGCAGGTCCGTCAGCTTTTGGACCTTGCAAATTATTCTCCACGCTATACGACTGGTGTTTTTTTTTTCAATTTATATAAATACGTACTAAAGTCAATGACTAAAGCATATAATTTTACTTAACACACTTACACCTAGGTTTGTTTGTGTTGCAGCTTCTCTAGCAATGGACTATCTACTATAACAAACATCTAATGAATGTGTAGCACTACATACGATAACAAAAAATCATCCAACATATCGGCTCTCAGCAGCCGCAGCACGCGTAGACGCTACATGTTTACCGTCCACCATAGTTAACTGAACTGCAACAACTCTTTTCTCATTTTTCCTTCTATTTTTAAGTGTTATTTATATAACATTTCGATTGTGTTAAAAAATATTATTAATTGGTTTATTTTTAAATCCAATTATCTAGAAGTCTGGTTTCTATCATAACGGTTTGATACTTTATCCTGACGAAATGGTAAATAATATGTAAAACTGTTTAATATTTTGTTAAAACCTACGGTACGGTAATAGAACATGAAACATTTGCTTAAACAATCCAAAAACTGGAAGTGATTGCAAATACTCGAATATCGTAATACATAAAGGCCTCTGATCTCTTTTATTTTCAATAAACGACAATACATTTCTTTGAAAAAATTTATAAACAGAGGAAACGGAAATGAGAAAATTTGAAAACCGAAGCGACGGTAATGAAATAATTGTACCGCTATATAGGTACGCACTATTCCAGTGCCGCGACACGGCTGATAGCTCGCGATTAGAGGTGGGCGTTTATGAGAAAAGCACTTTAAAAGTTTGCTTTTTAAAATAAGCACATAAGCACGCTCTGCAATTTAAGCGTAAGCCTTAACAACGTGCTTATGTTTCAAGTTCCGCCACCTATTATTTATCCTAAACAAATTAATTCGTTTGTATCAATGTTTGTATAATCAATGTGAATAATACTTTTTTATAGAAATAAAACTCGTGTTTTACAAATAAACTTATTTATCTTATAACCTTCAGTGGTACTCTTGCTTTTCGCTATAAATACAACGCTGCAAGCTTTTTTAACATAAAAGTCTATGCGATTAAACGTTTTTCTAAATGATTTTGTAAGCTTCAAACTAAACAGCGTTTATGTTAAAAGCGCTAGAAAAGCATGCTTTTTAAAAAAAGCACAACATTTACGTGTTTAAAAAATAAGCAGTTTTTCCCATCTCTACTTGCGAACAATATTGAATTTCAAATATTTCGTGGTTTAGGCATGTGTAATTTGAGAAGATATGGCGATGGTAATGAGAGAGATGGTAAAGACTTTCGGGCCGGACACTCGGATGTTTAGTTTTGGATATTTGACATTTAAAAACAATTGTCGTGGTGGGTCATGTTTTTATGTGATTACACAAGCATTATTTCGCCACCCAATATGTTGAATGATACAGGTGTAATGTGTAATCCATTCCGGACTTTAATTGGAATCAAGTTTGGGAAGGGTGTGAAAAATAAAATAAATAAGTATAATATTTAAGTAGCAAGACTAAAATCTTAAAAATAGGTCCAGATAGGTACAAGTATTTAAACTATTTAAAAAAGTATTTGAGGTTTTGTTTGATGTTATTCAAGGACAGGAAATACGCGCACATGCAAAAATTTGCTGTTTTGAGAATGGTCGTAATACATCCTCGATGTCAACTAGGATTAATGATAACTGAAAACTGTGTGAGATTCCAAGCATAGTCTAGTTATAAGGGAAGAGGGCTAGTATTGGCAGAATAAAACAAAGTATCGGCTTTCGTTTTATTATAATTAATGAAACTAAATTCAACAAACTTGATTCAATAAAAATTCCATGTGTGGGATTCCAGGTTTGCGGGGTGTGTTAAGAATACCTGATGATCTCCTAAAAGGTTGACCAGGCACTTATTTAATTTAAAGTTTGACATTGACGTTAGGGTTTCCCTTAACTCCAAGCCCAGTGACCATGAAGGTGGCACCACAGGGTGGCTTCTGCTCTTCAGCGATTTTCACACTGGCCGTTGTCACGAACAAAATGTCATAGTTTGGCCCGCCGAAAGTTGCTGATGTAACCTAAAGGAGTAATTTAAACTATGTCAATTGTGTGCCTAATTTCGGCGTCACCATTATAATGTTGCTCTAATACAATGCAAGTTGGAAACTTTACAACGGCGTGGACGTTTTTTAAATTTAAATAAATAAAGGCAATCGAACCTGTTTAGCCGGAATGGGCACTTTCTGCAGCAGCGTGTCGGTGCGAGGGTCGATGTGAAGGATGCAGGAGCCGTTGAAGACAGCCACCCAGAGGTTGCCGTCTGTGTCGATAGTGGTGCCGTCCGGGAAACCCTCTGTGATGCCGTGCTTCTTGAAGTCGAAGAAGTACTTCAAATTGGCTGGAATAACAAATAGATAGACTTAATTCAAAAAGCATTTATGATTCGATTCTACCTCAGCTCGAGTTCAAATTCTTCCCGTACTAATAGGGCTCATTTTGCTTGGGTCGAGCGGCAGGGACGCTGGCTTTCTTTCAGAGTTTATTTTTTTACAAACGAAATTACAGCTATTCGATAAATGTTCGTATTATTAGTATACGTGGTCTATTTGGTTCAGTTGACATAAAAAAAATCACTGGTATGTTTAAAGCACCTATTGAATACTGCGGTTTTCTTGTAAAATTTCAAGGAGTTTGTGTTTTTTTCCAACGTGAAAATTTTAAGGAATCGTGTTTTCACACCATATAGTAATAAGTGCATATCCTCAATTTTACTATATATTTTTACCAAAGTATTTGATTCAACACTTTCAGTGTTATGCAGACCAAACCATTTGAGGTTGTATAGACTCTTAATCTAATCGAACGTTGCCGTCAAAAGAACTAACTAACAATTCACGATTTCAGGCTCCCGAAGAAATCCTGAAGAACAATCACTTCTTAGAGTAGGTGACTAGGTGAAGTGGTAAATTTAACCTTGCTAATTGAGAAAACAAAAGAAGAAAACATATTTACAGATATTTCCAGTCTCCACATCATAATCGTATCTCCTAATGCATTGTTCAAGTGAATCAGTATAGTAGAAGGCTTTCTCTGTTAAGTCCCACGCGAGACCGTTCGAGATGCTGATCTTGTCGGCCAGTTGAGTGACCTTAGTACCGTCAAGGCGATATAACGCGCCCTGCTCCAGGGCGTAGTCACCTGGTGTCTCTTCGTGCCCCATCGTACCTGGTGAGAAATGTAGGGTGGTAATTACACATCACACAATTTAAACCATAGGTCCCAAACTTTATGGCGCACCGCTCACTCAGGCAAGATAAAATACATCCAACTCCCACCACTACAAGAAATAACGTATTTATACGTATTTTTTATATTAACTTAAAATAAAAAAATCAGAAGGAAAAAATATACATGTCTAATTATATTTTGTAGTTTATATAGATAACTCTGGGTTTTTTTTCAAATGCGGTAGCACCTCCTGGACAGCTTCAGCGTCTTCTTCGGCGCCCAGTGGAGGGTGGTAAGGACCACTTTGGGAAACTATGATTTAAACGTATGCATGAACATGTTGGTATAACATTTCTACTCATTATGTGGTCTCAAACTTCAGTAAAAATAAGAAAACAAAAAAAGAAAAAGTCTGCTACAAGGTCTGAAGGGAAATAAGTTAATCACCATATTATTTACGGGCTAGCAGGCTCCACTAAGATTAGCTCCAGCTAGTGCTAGCAGAAGGTATATTTTTAGATTTTGTATCTTTGTTCTTATTTATAATTTCTAGAAAGTGACGCTCATCAATCTATGCTCAATTTATGTATTTGGGTATAGCCTCTTGGGCCATCTTCTATAAGCAATAAAAATGTGCTTTGGTGGTTTTCATTACGCTTACGCACGAGGATGTATTAATAAGAAATTCTTTATTTTGGGTTAATGTTTGCTTCTATTTCAACAAAGTAAAGCTGCATGGCAGCGGAAGGGCAGTACTTGCTCCAGGCAGCTGTACTTAACTTGATAGCAGCAGCAGTTGCAGCATTATGTTGTTTTATAATTATTAAAATAAAAAAGTTTATTGTGTGCGCTCGTTTATTCATTTTCAATCGTTACGTCAAGTGCAAATTTTATATTTTACATAGGTATGAGTCGTTAGTATATAATTGCATACGCAACTAGTTAAAAATTCAAACACAAGTTGCTCTACAATATTTGAAATTATTTCAGGCCATTCAATCTCTTGATGGCGTCACTCGCAATTTCGTACGTCTCAATTCCGTTACATAATGAACTCAACATAATATGTTGTGTTGAGTTGCCCATGTATAGAAAATACATGGGCAATTTACGGTGTGTTACTTCCATCAACGCATTACATTATTAGTGGGCCATCTTTGTTCATATATTGATAGCTACCTCACAGACATAGCGCAGTTTGTCTGTAAAAAAAAAATATTTTTTTATTGAAGTTTCTACCACTTTGTGTATGTACGACACAATCAAGACATGCTTAAGAATAAACACAATGTGCAATCTGACAAACGAACCACATATGCAGATAGAGAAACAATTTTTCTTGGTGGTGGTAGGTCAATAAACCTAGAACATTTTTGAACACCCTGGGTTAAAAGATTATACAAAACTCTAGCAGCGAGCCGGTAATAGCTTACAACTTTGCCATCAGTAAGCGATACCAAGAAACTACGATTCCTTTGACGTCGTCTCTCTACTTCATCTTCACGTATTTCTTGTCCGAGCGCCTCCACAACTAACAGTATTCACGATTTTTTTACACAAATGATGTACAAACGATACCGCTCGAGCTATCGTTGGTTTTATGTCAATTCTACGATGAAAATAATGTCAAAATACGACACGGACGCTGTCATTTGGCGTTTCGGAGTAAGGCATCCGCAACTACTTGTGTCAAATCACGATTTTCGGCTCGTCGTTACTTCCGAGTCCGATACGAAGCTAAAACGATGATCGTTGCTTCATATTTCGTATGACGTGTTGAGGTTATGATGTCCGATACACGTGTCAAAATCCTTGCAAAATGGCTTTTCGTAGTAGCTTTATCAACATCCGATGTCGGACACCCATATAAATCACGCGTTTCATTCCGCAATCGATCCGCAATCGGGCACATAACGCGTCTCATAGTAAGTGTATCGGATTTTACTTTTGGGAGCAGACGCTCCGTGTTCTCAAAAGTGCAGACAAATATACAATGTAAAAATGTTACTAACAAGTTATATGGGTCTATGCCTGAAATTAATAACTCTATTCTATTCTAATGGTTGAACACACAGAGACGCTGACAAAATCTTACCAGCAAACAGTCTGCCTCTAGGATCAGCCTTTCCATCGTTGATTCGATTTTTAGTGCCCTTATCTACTTCCGCGATCTCCTTGACAACTGTGGCTGGACTGCCGTCGTTGCCATCCCACTTTACAACCAGAAACTTGCGCTCTACCCCCACCACAAACTCGTTCGATTTGCCTTCCACTGGAACTATAAAGCCTGGTCGTCCATCTGTAAATAAATAATTATGAAGATTTTACTATGACGCCTGGCATACCTGCCACCTAATTACAAAAAAAAACATAGCTGTAACAAAATAAACTTGTTGCTCTTGCTAACTGACACCCAAACAAGCAAGCCATGTTAAATGACAAAATCTTGTGTCAGGTGTCCAATATCTAAATTCTCAAAGTTGGAAAGGTGGCGTCATAAATAAGTAGATATATAGGTACCAATTTACACTTGAAATTGTCGTATTGATTAAACTGTACTGCTCACACGCCGAAGCTGTATAAAGGCGGCTTCCCACGGCTCGGGATGTTAAACACGCCGATTTTAACGGGCGAATTCGCAAAACGGATGGGTCCGGTCGACCTCGAGCCTAGGCGACACGCGCTCTCGCGTCTTTGAAGTTACCGAGCAGCGACGGATCCAAACAGGCCGCCACAAACGAGCATGGGCGCGCTCGGGCGGCCCCCTGAATCTTGGCACATTTACGCGAAACGCGTGGCGCGGTCTGCAATACTGGTCACGGGCCGTGGAATCCGACTTAAAAAAATAAGTAAGATTTCGGTCACATCATTTTTACTATTACATACATACATGAACCGAAATCTTATTATAGAAGCAACACATTACCCTTTAAATAAATTCGTGACTTTGTGAAGACGACTGTCAATAACAGCCAGTTTATTATCATTTCTCGCACAAACGCTCTCTCAACTAAGCTACGGAACGCCTGCTGGCACGGATTGCTTGAATGCGCTGCTTCGAATCCAACCGGATCGAAGGAATGCTTAATGTTCGATCTTTGTATGAATAAAATACTATTCTGCTTAACATAAATTACATTTTCATAGATGTACTGCGACTTTAGTGTAGTTAATGTCTTTAAATTTCTCTCAAGTGACTCTGGGCTCAGATTGTAAATTGCCCTTATCGCACGTTTTTGCAGGACAAAGATTCTATTAACATTGACAGTATTACCACAGTAAAATTACACACAAGTTCAGATAAAACTTCGGCCAACAAACGAGGAACGTTTAAGTGTCTGGGTACTCACCCAGACACTTAAACGCAAGTACTAGGTTATTAAAATTAATCATTTATTGTTAAAAAAAAATAGAAACATCGAGGAAGACTAAGGAAATGAAACTCTGAATGAATACTCTTCAAAATAAATAATAAAATAAAACAGTTGTAATTCGATTTTTCCAGAGCCTCATTAATAACTTTTTTATAGAAAAAAAAAACTAACCTCAAAAGTTCGTGGAACTACATCTATTTGCTAAGTTTTATTGAAATCAGTTACCGGAAAGTGCGCGAAACCGGATTCACCCCTTAGCTTGCCAGTTTAAATGGGACCAACACTGAACTACCTCTTTCCAACAAAAAAAGAATCGTCAAAATCGGTTCACAAATCTGAGTTGGAGTTATCGCGTAACATACATACAAAAAAAACATAGAGTCGAATTGAGAGTCTTCTCTTTTTTTGAAATCGGTTAAAAAGGAAGCTATAAAACCAGTACGAAAGAGACTACGTCGTGGGCAATGTCGGTGAAGAGATCAAATAAAATATCTGTCTGTTCACCTGGAGATTGACAAAGATAGCAGCGAAACCTGTACAGGGGCACGATATTCAGCAATGAGCTTACCGAGAGTAGTCTTGGTATATGCCCCTGTAGCCGGCACATACTTATGTATGGTCTTCTCGATGATGCTGACGAAGTACAACGCCTGCTGATCGTGATCCCAGTGAGGCCCCTCGCCCAGCAGCAATTCTTCACTGATTTTTTGCACTTTCGCCATCTGTGATTTATTTACCACCAATATAAATCGAATGGTAGATATTTACTTGCCTTTTATAATTTGGAATTATCTTTTATAATTAATTACATAAAAGATAAGTTACATAAGGTTAATTGATAACAATAATATTTACAAGTCATTGTTTTCAAGTATATATATGTTTTAAAAAAGTATTAGTGGACATGGATTCAAGGTGACAAGAATTTAAATACTGACTGCACATAGTTCTACATAAACGTTTCAGACACAGTGTAAAAACTTATCTCCAAAACATCCTTTAGTCGCCTAAAGTCTAAATGTTTTTGTATTTAACATGTCAAAGCGGAAATTTGTCTTTTGAGAAGAGAAATTTAATGTTTCTGAAAATAAATTTAAAATGCGAGATTTTCGTTTAGTAACGGAGTTGATTTCAACGTGCTATACATTTAATTATATCGAATTAAGTAATCCCGCTAAAATTTGATTAAAAAACGAAAAAAAAGACCTATAATCTCGTAATTAAGATATGCAGCATACCGTTCATTATCTAAATTTGCCACAGAGTTATGAAGTATTTTTCTGATATCCAATAAACTACTTATTTATTTATTATTAAAAAACATCCAAAAGCATGCATTTCGAATTTGAAAACTATTGTACATGACGGTATATGATGTCAATTACAGGATAGCACAGAAATATAATATGGGCTCCTAGAAAATTAAATATAATATGTTGGAACACTGTATGCGTTCAGAAAATAAAACAAAATTTTATATTTAAGGCTACACGGGATATATGCTTTTTATCCTCTGATGTATCCTAACCTACTTCTTAAGGGTATATGGTAGGGTACAATGAAATAGGGGAACGAGGAAATTACATTGGCTTTGTATGTGTCCAAATTGTTGAGAAGCATGACATGCAATGCAGAGGTTTTGAGTCGTGTTGGTCTTTGCATTTCCGATAGTTATGTGGAGCGCCGGCGCATCGAATACCGGGTATAAGTTTGACGCAATCCTGTTGAAGTCATCCTTACTACATACATAATTTCTACATATTAAAAAAACCAAGCTACATTAGCAATTAATCTAAAACAATAATTGAGTATTTCGATATAAAATTAAACTAATTGTTACATCGAAGTGCAAGAAACGATCGTACCGGAATTTTGGTCGAAAACCAGAGTAGAAAACAAGCATCGTGTCATGCATTCCGTACTCGCTAACCGGTCGGTTATACCTCCCACTTGTATAGTCCTAATGTGCTATAAGTTTTCTACCTTATGTATATTTTAGAAGCACAAACTGAATGGTTTTTTTTCAGGTTTTTTAATTCTTTTATGTAATATTCATGAGATAAGGTAATAAATCCTTTGAATTCTTTTACCTACTTCAGTATTTTGGTATTGCTCTATTGAATCCAGACGAATTATAATAGTTTTATTGAATTTAAAGTAATACACATTTCGCACTGCTATTACAACAGTGTTGTCACTTAAAATTATGAAATTGAGAAAACGTAATTTGAAAATTTAAAAAAATACTGATTTTGTCTTATTGCGAATCACGTGTTTATGTTTACTTATACATGATACTTAATTATCCATTTATAAAGGAGAATATATGCGTGTGTATATAATGAGAATATATATATTTTATTTTCAAATCGTTTTTTCTCAATTCCACAATTTTGAGTTACGACACTATGGTAACAGCAGTGCTATTTAGTTTAAAATTTAAAAACAAAGTTCTTTGAGTTATTTGTTTTGCACGAGAATGACACGATAGACATGAATGCCAGCGCCTAATAATTATATTAAGTATATACATATTTGGCAATAATGTTCTTACCTTCTTGAACGTGTATTATGTGCGTATGATAGTTGTGTTCCGAAAACTGGGACAAAACGTCTTTAGAATAAACCACGCTAGTTGCGGCGCTGGCGCGTTATGACATATCTCAAGGTTAAATTAATATTGTTGTTTTTTCCACTCTATCCTTATGCCGCATTTACACTATCGCGCTCGTTGTTCGCATCGCCACTCGTCTAAACATTCGTGTCGAGTGGCTGACGCGAACTACCGTTCCATTTGAACTCTCGCACGCGAACATGGAGGACGTGGAGGCTATAGCAGCGCACGCTCTCCATTTATGAAGTTTAGGTAGTAGTTTTAAATAAACATTTTTTTTAACATTTCATGCTCCTAGAGTTGACCGCGAGAACTGTGTTGTGTTGTAGTTCACTATTCCATATAATTAATGTTATTAGTTGAGAAGTGTTTTATTCATAAGTATGCCAGTCGTAACTCTAGTTTTCAATTAATTAGTATAGGTTTTGATTATTTCCTGTACACTTATTGGCTGACGTGGTGACCGATGAAATCACTGACCACCAGCCAGTAAGGCGTTAGTTGGTAAGGGTAGGAGGAATGGAGGGAAAAGGAGATGGAAGGGGAGGTTTAGAGGGAAAGTTAGAACAGTTGATCAGTTAGTCATTGAGTGAAGATAAAATTAAAACAAGCATTTTATTAAGAATTTCTACAATATGTTGCTAAGATAATAAATTTGTATGAAGTCATTGTGGTGTTATTTTTCGAATATAAATCTTACTAGAAATCACGTGTATTAAATTATACAGAAGGACTCTAAAGGTACGTTACGATCAATTGCCTATTACAGCGGGCAGACCACCACCGACGAACAAAAATTGCATTCGTATAAACTCGAGACCGCAAGGGTGTTATATCGTCTTTGACCAAATTTAGGGTGTACCTATTAGGTATAAGATTTAAAAACGTTACTGACTGCAATGCCCTACGTACGACATTACGACCAAACGTGACTTACTGCCGCGTATTGCCCGTTGGTGGCTGCTATTCCTTGAATACGATTGCGAAATAGAGTACAGGTCGGGTGAAAGGATGGCTCACGTTGATGCCCTGAGTAGGAGTCCCGTTGCAGATGAACATGACCGTTGTCACCTATTAGACGTACTCACCATAAGCAGTGATGATTGATTAGCGAGGTACCAGCAGTCCGATGACGAAATAAAACGTATCACTGACACACTTAGTGACCCTCAAGCCAAAGACGTTACTGAGACATTAAAAAATTACAAATTACTCAACGGTCGCGTCTACCGTGTGCTTGATGACTCTTCCTTACGTTGGCTAGTGCCGAGCGGGGCGAGGTGGCATTTATTACGGGCAAATCATGACAACATCGGTGATTTCGGCTATGATAAGACTGTAGGGCGTATACAAACAAATTATGGTTTTTCCAAAATGAGACGCTTTATTAAAAAGTACGTAGCTGCATGCGTAGAATGTGCACATCACAAGTTACCGAGTGGGGCTAAAGCAGGGGAATTACAGCCGATCTCGAAAGTGGAAGTGCCTTTACATACATTGCAGGCGGATCATTTAGGACGATTCATTAAGATAAGACGGGGCAATTCATATATCTTAATTATTGTGGACGCATTTACTAAATACGTTAATCTGACAGCTGTACGTACAAAGTCTGCTACAACTATTAGGGTTTTACGTGATCGTTTTAGCTACTTTGGGACACCCAATCGTCTTATCACTGACCGAGGCACTAGTGTCACCAGTGGTACTTTCAAGAGTTTCATCGGGTCAACGGTATAAAGCACGGTTATATTCCAGTATTAGTTGAGTTTGCATAAGCTTTCGGCTTCATATGTATTTATATAGGTACCTAACAAATTTACTATTTCTAATTTTGTTACAGTCAAGCTATGGAGAATATGTTTCAAGTAATGCCCTGAGAAGATTCTGGAGAATTCTCAATATTTTTTAGAATGTCGCATATTGATTTTAATTACTAGCTGAGTAAAAATGAATATATGATTAGTAAAAAATCCATTTTGCAAGGTGTATGTGTTATCGGGTCGGGCGCTAGCTATTAACTGAAGCGGGACGAATATATGGACACTAACTTCGCGTCGTCTCTCGTGTCAATTTAATACTCCATATACGGTATATAAAGATCTTAAATAACATAATTATAGGTCCTTGTTATATGATACTACGCCATATTATACGCCACTTACTGCTGCAGCAACGCACACATTAAACACGGCACTGGTTCGCAGCATCCTCGAGACGAATGCCCATCTAGTCTCCTCATGAGAATAAACATATTTTGATGTTGGAGCAAGTACAGAAAAAGTTTTCAAGATACTTTTATAAAAAGAATCACGGTTATTACCCGTACATGTACCCAACACGCTTCCTATAGGGTGACCTGGGTTTCGAGTCATTAGAAGTACGTAGAAATTTGTCTCTACTCTTCTTTGTTCTAAATGTTATAAGGAATAATATAGACAGTAAAAAGGATGTAGAAATGATCCTTAAATTCAAAGTACCAAATGACTACTGTACCAGGCGGCGTGATGTGCCCTTGTTAGCAACTGTGCCTTCACGCACTGAACAGTACCGACACTCGCCCCTTCCCCGTGCAACTACACTCCTCAACTCCGTACTCGCAACATCACCGCAGTGTAATCTGTTTGTGACTGGGATAGCGAGACTGATGACTGAATGGAAGAGAGCGCTAGAGAGAAAACAGGATGGATTTTAGTGATATTGATAATTTAAGTTTTGATTAGTAACGATATATTTTAAATTTTTATTGAATTGATATTCAATTATTTTTTGTGAAATTACTCCACTAGTTTGTTTTAATTATTAAAAATTTAAAATACAGCAAATAGCGACATCTCTCGCCAGGACTGGTAACTGTAAAGGTACTAACTGGGTGATAAATCGTTCATAGATTTCTCATAGATGGCGCTATGACTAAAAAGTCGTTGAAAAAACCAAATACAAGACACGTCGCAAGCACATAGAAAAATTCGTGAGGGCCGCTAGTTCGTTCCGTGGCTTAGTTGGTATAGCGTCTGACACTGTAAGCTAGAAGACGTCGGAATCCGGCCGGATCGAAGGAATTTTTTCTGAGTGTTCGATCTTTGTATTAATAATTATAACAAACTTGTAGTAACGATGTATATTTTTTTTAATTTTTATTTTTAATTGTGGTGGTTTTTATTTTGTTATTATGTTTCTAAATTGATGTAACGCCATGGTAAATACCGTTATTTCCTGTGTGTAACAATCGCGAAAACCTAAGAACTCGATAAATACCGTTATGTTACACTTTTTTGTTATTGAATAAATAAATGATACTCTGTAAGGGCGTCGTTAACTCTTTTTAGTGTCTTTTGACACGTGCTCGAAAACTCGCCGACGACGCGATCGCACGAGTGGCCATGGTGTCGTCCACTACCTAAAACGCGGCCAAGTGACAAAATACTTTTTAGAGATATCATGAAAAACCATAAATAACCCAGTCTTAGAAAATTGAAATTGTTCAATGATATTCCGGCTATGCATCGTTAGGGTAAGGTCCGACAAGTCAAACACGTTAACTAATTTTAACTGTTTTTAAAAGAGAAATTTGTGCTCTATCTTTTGCTATTTAAAACGGATATTTGACCAAGTTTTAGTTAGTGGACGGCAGTATGCGAGTCGCGACGCGAATAGAGAGCTGACCGTGTACATAATTATGCGTATTTGTGTATCGCATCGCCACTCGCACGCGAGTGTGAGAATGCGGCGTTATAGAGGAAAAGGCAAAGATTTGACATATTGGTTGTGTGTCACAATCACTATCGCACAAAGTCGTAGACCATGTTCGAAATAAAATATTACTCTTCAAATAATACAAGCAGGTGCGCCAAATTTGTTAAAAAATGAAATAATCATTTAGTTAATAAGAGTTTTACTAAGAATTACACTATTTTGAACACATAGATTTAAGTGCATGTATCCGAACATCTTTAAAAGAATAAGAAGATATTCTTAAAACTTTTTTGATTGTTTCTTAGGCAACAATTTAATTTGGTTTTGTTTGTCTGATTTACTAAGGTTTGTTTTTAATAGACTTCAAAAAAAGGAGGAGACTCAATTCGACGGTATGTTTTCTTTGTATGTATGTTACGCAATAACTCGACTTGTAAACCGATTTTAATTATTCTTTTTTGTTGGAAAGAGGGTACCTCATTTAATTTTGATGTAAATATTCACTTCCAAGTGTGATTGTTTACGCATGAAGACTTATTTGTATATTTATACAGGCCTAAGTTTTATAAGAAGCAATTATGTTAATGGTTGCTTTTGCTATGCCCCAATTGAAGGCGTCTTTCGCTCAATATACTTTAAGCAGTGAGTACCGATTTTTATTATCTCCTGTGTTAAGTCCCGCATAGTGGGAACTAGGGGATGCATCCGGTTTTGCGCACTTTCCAGTAACAGATTTCAATAAAACTTGGCAAATAGATGTAAATGCACGAAATTTTGAAGTCGGTTTTTTAGTACTTTTAGTACTCCGTACTGAGATTATCAAGTTTCTATTTGCTAACTTAACATTCTGAAGTAAGTATGTATATTGAAACACCAAGATAAATAATTAAAATAATCTCCATTTTACGATCAGTCGATGTTTACGGATTGGAAATTCATTTCACGCTTCCATTTATTATTACCCTAATGAGTTGCCGTTTGCAATTGAATTTTCACAAAAAAAGTTGGGATTTTTTTAAATCACATATTTTCTGGGTTGTTACAAACTGGCCAGCACCTTGGTTCCGGGTGTTCTGAGTTTTGGGACACCCTGTATATAAATTTCACCCTATGCCAAAAATTGTCTATTTGTCTATTAACCTTAAATAGCCCTAAATTGTAATTTTCGGGAAATATAGATGCTGATAGCGTAATCCATTCCTTCAACCCCCGAAGTCTGAGTCGCAGGGAATGGCTTTCTTTTGGTTACAAATAAAACTACCCTGTTTGTTATAACAGTTCGCTCGCTTTTTATTTCAATGTTAATGTCGACCTTACAAAGTTTTTAAATTTATGTTTAGAAAAAAATTAAACACTTAACAAAACTTTAAAAAATATCTAATTAATCTTAACGTTAACATTGGGGTGTCCCTTCACCCCCAAGCCGGTGAGAGCAAATGTGGATCCCCGTGGGGGAGGCTGCTCCTCCCCCCTATTCATTGACGCCGTAGTCACGTAGAGGATGTCCAAGTTAGGACCTCCGAAGGTACAAGAAGTCACTTGCAGAGCTGGAATCGGCACCTTCTGGAGAAGCTCGCTTGTCCGAGGATCAATTTTCAGCACCTAAAAGTTAGAAGGCATGACTACAGATTTTTGTAGATAATAGTTTGGATCAAAATAACTCAAGAGATTGCCATTCTCCATACTACAATCGTAACTGTGTAAAAGGTCAAAATACCGTCTTATATCTAGCTGGCGAACGATAGTACGGAAGTAGTTTATAAGTACCATGTAAATGGCCATGGATATCCCAATATAAGTAGTCAATTTATTCCTTGTAATATTATTCAAATATTGAACCTATGAAAGCATAAGATAATTTTGTGACCTTTGATAAAAATACGTATAAATAAATAGCATTGTTACAAACTAATTTATACATTAACGCTTCCTAATATGAGTGGATGGAGTTAATCCTAAAGAAAATAAAGGAATAGCCGACACTAGCCATAAAAATCTGAGCAATAAGAGCCATCTAGTAGATTAATTGTTTGTTATTATTAGAAATTAGAGTTGCTTTGATAAATTGCATAATTAAATTGCTTATTAATGCAAAACAAATTTGTTCAAAAAAAAATTGCCATTTGGTATCCGTTGCGACTTCTGGTATACCAATGGGCACTAAATACCCGACTACGCTGTCTTGTGTCGCGACTAGCACTCCTCTTTAGTTGAAATGCTAATTAGAATTAGGCATTAGTTACCCTTGACCGTTAATTGATATCATAAAAAAAAAAATCCAATCGAACTCTAGTTTTGATCACCATATTTATAATCTAAAAAGTGTTTTAAGTTACATTATTGCGATTTCATTACTTCAAAGGCTATTTACAAGTCTTAGCAAAATTTAATTGTGGGCAAAATTGATTTTTAGTAATGGGTCATAGTAAAGGTTAGTTCGTCGCCTTTTGTTCCCTGAACTTTGGCAGACAGAATACCGTGGGCCTAAGTGTCATTCATAATTTGGTTGACATCGAAAGAACAACAAAAATTGTTCGCGGCTGATTACTTTTTAACCGACTTCAATAATGGAGGAGGTTTTCAATTCGACTGTATGTTCTTTTTTTTTCTTTTTTTTTGTATGTATATTACGCGATAACTTTTTATTTGTGAACCGATTTTCATGATTCTTTTTTGTTGGAAAGGGAGTACTTCCATAGTGGTCCCATTTCATTTTGAAGAAAATCATCCACCTCGAAGGGTGGCTGTTCACGCATGAAGATTCATTTTCATAAATAGCGCCTAACATTAATTTAGGAGCAATTACTTTAATGGTTGATTTTGCTATTTCTCCAATTCAAGGCATTTTTCTCTCAATATACTTTGAGTAGTGAGAACCGATTTTTATTATCTCCAATGTCAAGTCCTGTATAGTGGCGAACTAGGGGATATTTCAATAAAACTTAGCAAATAGACTTAATTCCACGTACTTTTGAAGTCGGTTTTTTAGTACTCTGTACTGAGATTATTTACAGATATACTCATCACATGACAAAACAATAATGCCACGAGCGTAATGTCAATTGCAGTCAAGTGTGTCTTGAAATATTCGAGAGAAGTGCCTGCACTATACTTGTACGTAATAACATTCTTTTTTTATTCTACCAAGTGACAGGACGAACAAGTCGTACGCCTGGTGGTAAGCGACACACGCCTGTTCATAGCAATTGCAGTGCCATTCAGAGCTTTAAATCGCCAAGATCTGAGGGGCACTGCCATTGCGCCCTGAGACGTAAGTTGCCAAGTCCCATGTGCCTGTAATGTCACCTGCACCCTTACCCTTGAAAACCGAAACGCGACAATGCTCACGTTACTGCTTGGCTGCAGAAATAGGTAAGGTGGCAGTACCTCCCCGGACGAACTCTTTCGCAAGGAGCTCTACTGCTACTAGAATAATTATAATAAATACTAGAAAAATAACAATTCTAAGCCTATGCAAGATTGTAAAACTACCTGGTATCCGTCGAAATTGGCGACCCAGAGGTTGCCGTCGGTGTCGATGGTCATCCCGTCCACGATGCCTGCCAGCCCGTGCGTCTCAAACTCGAATACTTTGCGTGGATTCGCTGCAAACATGGTATATACATATCGATGTTATTGTTTATGATTGAAGACTCCTTTTTTTTTAAATTTTGCATAAATTAATAAAAATCATGCTAGCAAAACTTTTTTTTTAATTTTAGGTATTTGCAAGAAATAGCAAAAAACATACAAAAAAAAATGCAAAATGTCAATCTCGAAGACCTTGATTTAGTCTCTTTTATGGTATATTTAAAGTTTGACATTAATAAATTATTAGTGGATCATTGTTGATCCAAGAACACTGCCAATCACGATACTGAAGCAGCGTGATGAGGTATTTAGTACCTGTTGGTACACCAGATGTCGCGACGGGTACCAAAATAGCTATTGTTGTAACTAATTTGTTTTACATTGACAAGCTGCAAATTTATCAAAGCTATCTAATTTCTAACAAACAAATCAACTAGATGGCGCTTATTGCACAGATTTTTATGGATAGCGCTGGAAATTCTTTTATTTTGTTTACGATTATGTATTGGCTTCTTCTACCAATTTTACGAAACGTTAATTTATAAATCATACACGAAACGATTACACGAAAAAACTGACTTGATATATTTCATTTAACGAGGAATTAATTAACATATACTACTTCCAGGCTTAATGACCAGCGCTATCTAGATATAAGACGGAATTTTGATCTTTTTCAGAGTTGTATTCCGTAGTATGGAGATTAGTAGTCTCTTGACTGGTTGGTCCATGGTAATACATTCATAAATTGACGCTCATACTACTTTGAAACCCTAACGAGCCGTGACCAGGTAAATAAAAACAGGTACAACAGCATAAAATACTATATTATAATAACAAACTGGCCGAGTTATACAGAATTACTAGGTTTAAATGGTTTTGATTAACTGGTAAAAGGTATCAAAATTCGCGATTAAAAATTTAGGTACATATAGTACTGTTATTTTGAATTTTACTGTGATATAATAGAACTGTTCGCTACGGCGATAGAGCAGGGAGTGACGATGGCGAGACTAAGGAATTGAAGAACGATTCAATAAGAATGAGTGGCCAGGAACTGGAGAAAAAGCGATAAAAAGGTGGGACGACGATGTAAGGAGGCCACATCGTCAACATCATAGATTCTTGCTAAGAACAACACAGATTACGTTTTTATGAAACTATAAAAATCATAACGGAATATAAATGTTGTGTAAAATGTATTTTGCTATATGTGGATATAGTATCTCAATAGCTTCCCTTGAACTTGTCACGCAAATCGTAAATGCTTTGCTCGTTTAATCTAATCTCATAATTATGGCGTGTGGAGTACATTTCAAATGTTCTTGCGAAGGTCAATTTGCTTTGCATTTATTTTATGATAATATTCCACACTATTTAACTCGTTAAGCCTCAGTACTAGGGCTTTCCGTGTCTCGGGAAAAAATCGAGACTCGGTGAGTCCCGAAAATCCTGGACGAATAAGACTTTCGAAACTATTTCAAGAGTAGGTTTCCATACTTATGGGGTAACCATTTATGCAGTCAAAATGTATCAATCAGATTTTTTATTAACACAAATTATAAAAGAAAAACAAGATATGGATAAAATAAAACAGAAATAAATAAAAAAATATTCTGTTAATAACTCTAGCCAGAGCTGGTAGCTGTAAAGGTATCTAACTGGTTGACGAAATACTTTCGAAGGTTTCTCATAGATGGCGCTACGGCTAAAAAGTAGTTGAAAACCAAATACAAAAGATCCGACAACAAGCACATAGAAAAATACGTGCAGTTCGCTGGATCGTTCCGTGACTTAGTTGGCATAGCGTCTGGCACGGTTTGCTAAGAGACGTCGACTCGAATCCGGCCGGATCGAAGGAATTTTTTCTAAGTTCGATCTTTGTATTTATCATTATAACAAACTAGTAGAGTAAGTTCACAAAAATAATTGATATCATGGTGGTGAAACGCTCTTAAATTCAATAAAAATGTAATTGTGATTTTTAAATTTTCATAGAGGGTACGTGAAAAACAAAGGGCATATAGTGTAGTTTCAGACAAAAGCGACCTGATTTTATTGCTACCGTTCTTCAATCTCCGCATATTATACTAAGCCCCGCTTTACGGAGTTCCCCATGTATTCAGAATTTAAAAAAATACTGTTGGTTAAATAGATGTTTTAATATTGTTTAATTACGTGACTTAAGTCACAAAAGTCTCGATATTCCGGAGACTGAAAATATCAGTGCCAAAAGACCGTCGAAAGACTTGTCAAATTCCCGATACTGAGTTTCCCGAGATGAAAACCCTAATTAGTACTATATTAATCTGACTTGGTTTTAATGACACCTCAGTCTGGTAGAGATACTATACACCAAGGTCGACCTTTAATCATGTTTCCAAGTGACTTGTCAGGAGCGTATAGGACTTTAGGGCTATGCAAAGAAAGGGGCGTTGGGCGGGTCACATAAGCCGCAGAACCTGAACCGAAAGCAGGTATACTTAATTACAATTATTAAAGCGACATTTCTAGTCAGCCGCTGGTATCTGTAAAGGTTTAAAGGCCGCAATAAGCACATATAAAAAAAATTAAGGTTCGCTGGTTCGTTCCGTGGCTTAGTTGGCATGGCGTCGAGCACGGTTTGCTAGAAGACGCTGGGTCGAAACCAGCAGGATGGAAGGACTTTTTTCTAAATGTTCGATATTTGTATTAATAATTATAACAAACTAGTGGAGTAATTTCACAAAAAATAATTGAATACCATGGTGGTGAAGCATACCGACATTCAATAAAACTTGTTTATGATAGAAGAAATTAAAAATATAAACGACGTGAATTTTGTACATATGGGCTATGATTTAAAATCATTTATGGCGTTTTTACGATCTCAAAACATAGGCTCAAAATCCACTTATTTAAATTTTTTTCAAAACAGTTTTATAAAAGTTAGGTTTTTAATTTTAGATACGACATTTATCTTATTTTAACGCAGTGCACAATTGTCCTCGGTTCCAAGCTAAATACTGTTTATATATAAATTAATTTTAATAATAATAAATAAATAAATAATGTTCACCTAGTATTAGTAATGTTTAACGAGTACATAACCAAAAATAAAGACGACATGTCATTTAGTTTGTTTCAAAACTATTCTGCCATATAATTACGATGATAACTGCGCTCCGATTGGCCAGCCCGAATTCGAAACAATTGACGGGTGTCGTCAATTGTTTCATTTCATTACGACCAGTTTAACTTGACCTTTGCTATAATGGGCTTAAGTTGGAAAATTACATATCATTTAATATTTATTTATTAAATATGATACCGTTTGTTTTTTAATTAGATGTTTTGCATTTTTTCCCACACCTGAACGAACGAACGAATGAACAGCCCCCCATAGTTAGAGATACTATCATTGTTACAATAAATACGGAGACGTACACACAGGTCAGTTCTTTTAATATATAATGTGATTTCAGCGCAAACGAGAGTTGATATTTAAAAGTGATATAAAGCCCATTTGCCTGATGAGGTGCCAGGGATGGATGGCCCTCAATTCGTCTCTATTTCAGGTAAACAAACACATATCGAGTAAGTTATCAAAAAGTACTTACAAATATTCCCCGTGTCGATGTCATAATCGTATCTCCGTATAGCGTACTCGAAGGAGTCTGCATAGTAGAAAGCCTTCTCATTCACGTCCCAGCAGAGGCCGTTCGAGATGTCCACGTCGGTGATGACCTGGTGCGTAGTGCCGTCGGCCTCTATGCGGTATAATGAGCCTTTCTTCAAATGGAACTTGCCGGGCTCATATTCGAAGCCCATTGTTCCTGAAAAAGAAAATTTAGTTCCCGCATTACCCCCACTGTGCCACTGAAATCGTATTAAATATTCAACCTGCATTGGGTCAGCGTGATGGATTATGGCGTTAACCATCACCCTAAGTTAACCAGATCCGTACCCAGCAGTGGGATCTAATACTTCAGAAACTTTTGCGGTTGTGGGCAGAGCAACTCACGATTTCAACTCACGAGTTTTATCGCAAAGACATGAATAATAACGCAGTCGGAACAAACAAACATACACACATTGGCCGTTTCTTCATGCTCCTACCTATATCGATAACAAAGTGCCAGAAAATCGCATCAATTGCCTGGTCTCAAACTAGGGAATTCTATGAGCACCAGAGCCCGGGACCTCCTCATCCAGCGCCCACATTTCAAACCGTTGGGCCACAGAGGTCCTCAATTTTTATATATAGCAGTGTCGTCCAGTTAACTTGACTCCCACCGGCTTGCCTAAAATTTTCCACGTATTACAAAAAAACTGTACTAGGCAGCACGCCTACCCTACCACTTAAAAACTTATATTCAATGATAATCGTGTAGCAACTTGTCGTCGATAATACGGAGTATTGTAGCTTCCCGATGGATCTCAGTCGATCACAGCGCGAGTCAAGTCGGTCTTAAGTATCGCCAATTCGCCTCTTTAACGGGAAAAGTACTTTTTGTTACAGTAGGTGTTTCCGGCTTTACTTAGGACAATTATCATGCCTCGCCACTGATATATATATAGATAGAAGATGAAGTTTTGAAATGAGCAGTACACAAACAACATTATTGTACGTATATTGTTCGGATAGTGAATAGCTAGCTTGGTAACAAGACCCATATAAGAACCGGAGTGTGCAATGTATGGGTTGTGGACTTGTTGAAAAGTTTAAGGCCGCAAATTCGGAACGATGCCACAGAGGAGATGTACGAAAGTCGATTTCAAAAATTTAGTTAAAATTTTCTACGAAGTGTTACACTATTTAACGGGAATTTTGGTAACACACTACCCTATCTGAGACCGAGACAGCAGTCGGAAGTCGGAACGCTGTCACTGCGTATATCGCTTGTCTTAGTTGTCGGCGCTCCTGTTTAAAACTGATCTTTCAACCCTATTCTGTGTTTATGTGTGGTGAGTTTTGTAATACCTTTAACGTATATTAAAGCGGAAGGTACGTACTTTAATTAAAAATATATATTTTCCGCATTGCACTTGATATAGTGACATTTCTTAAGGTAAAAAAATTTGGATGGATCATGACTCGAATCCGATTAAATAAATCTTATGTAATTAATTTAAAGTCTCTTTTTCAATACAATATAAAATATATGTGTTTTAATTACAATATGTGTCATTAAACTGCCTTTGATTACATCATATCGATAAAAATCACAAAATTGTTTTGAGCAACTGTCGAAGTGATGGTGTGTTCAAGGTTTAATGTTTTTTTAAATTAAATTTTGCGCCTAAGAAGTGAGTAACAAATATTATTGATGCAAAGATCAAACAAACACAAAGAACAATTAGATCCGACTGAAATTGAACCATCATCTGTTTCCCAAAACGCTACCGTTCTTACCAACTGAGTAAACAGACTGAGTCAGCAGACCTTACAAGTTTCTCTGTGCTTATTACAGATCTTTGTATTATGTTATAAAAATAGTTCATTATACATAGCATGGGTACGGTGACGTTTGAGACTATAGTTCAGAACAAGTAATAAACATAACAAAAAGGATTAAACTTTTTTCCATAGTATAATGTCCAACGAGATTCGCATATGAGGTAAAGCGGCAGACATTCAAACCATATTTTTATTGCAAAAACGAGCGATTCCTTCTGTGTACCGTTTAGGCTCTCAAGTTTCTCTCAGAGAAAAGTACATTGACTCAAATATTTTATATGTCCGTAAAAATATACATAATTTCAATAAGAAAGAAGATACCCATAATATTAACCTTAAGAGCTAAGTCCAAACTCATGGTACAACGATTTCGTTTAACCAAAGTAAATGACTCTTTTATGGGGATCTATATACGTTTTTACAATAAGATTCCGGAGCAAATATTAAGATTATCATTTCCTAAGTTTAAAAAGTACATTAAAACTATTTCGATTGAAAAGTCATCAGTTTAAAAGTAGCTTAGAAGTGACATTTTCAATTGCAATAAATGATTCTTTGACTTGGAGTTACTAATAAACATCATGCAAAACTCAAAACAAAAGAAAACGACCCGCATGCTGTAATACAATTTGCACACGTATTGACGCGAGATACGCAATAACCGATTCGATTTATCGATTCTATGGTGTAAATCTCTATGAGTAAATATTCCGTTTAACGCATCAAGTAGTTGGGGAAATTTACTTTTATCTTTATCACTTCATTTTCTTTCTACAATCTCCAATTTTTACTTAAAATTACAACTGCAAGAAATATGGTTTGTTTTTGGTATCTGGTTGAGAGATTAGTTAAAAATAGTATGCATGCAACGTAAAAATTTGAAATGTTACAATACGCATCCCCAGTACCTATAAAATGGACTATAGTAACAAATTAATTAATATCATATACATAATAGAAGACATTTACCAGCGAACAAGCGTCCTCTAGGATCAGCTTTGGCATCGTTGAACCGATTCTGCGGCTCGTGCGCGTCGACCTCGGCTATGGTCTTGACCTCTTTGGCCGTGTCGTTCTCCCCCGACCACTCGATCTCGACCACGCGGCGGTCCAGGCTGACTACGTAGTGGTGGGGCCGGCCTTCGATTGGTATTATGTATGTTGGCATGCCACCTGACGAGAATAATAATAATAATTTATTTAGCAAGGCCTAATTACAGAATAGTGAACTAAAATTAACAAGGTGCAAAATATTAGGCTGTAGAATTAATTTTAAGGTAAATGACGACTGACTTCCCATATTAGTGAAATCTGTAGTCAGCGTAATTTAAAGTAAGTAACCAATTGCGAAGTTTGACATGCATGTTTTATTTGTTTAAGAAAACTATCTTAAGTTTTGTCGTCTACTTTGTTGAACAGGTAAGAGCTCACACAATGGTACTGTCTTTAAGCGAAGGATGTTCTATATTCTTCATTAGGGCAAGCTTTAGGTTTACGTCTAGGATAATTGCTATGAATACGTGAGGAGTAAGCTATGGTACGGTGTCGGCGTACAATTATGAGCAAAATAAACAACGGTTAGGATTTTTGACTCTCCGTACAGGGAGGACGTAGAATATCTATAAGGTTTCGATAACATGACTTTTATTACAGCTCTGCGCACGTTCTAGTCTTAACAAACTGGTTTTGTGCGCGCCACCCCACACTGAGATACAATAGCTTATAATTGACCTTCACAGAGAGTCATATACCATATACAAGGTATTCTGGTCGGTGCTACAGCGGAGCTTTTTCATAACGAAAATTTATTTCCTCACACTACAGCATATACTGTAGATATGGTTCCGCCAGTTCAGACCCTCATCGAGAATAATACCGAGGTATTTCAAATATTTAGTTCTTAGGAGTTCAAGACAAGAGCAAACAACGGAATTCGATGCGCATGTATGAGCAGAAACAGAGTAAGAGGGAAGTGGCTGACCGGATGCATTTATAGAAAAGGTAATAATAATGTTTTTTGAACATTTAATGTTAGCAAGTTCGTTCTCAACCAGACCATAACTGCCCTAAGAGCCGATTCAGCGTTCACTTTACCTTCAGTCCAATTCGACCCAGAAACTATAAGAGCTGTGTCATCTGCGTAAGAAAAAGTTAAGTGATAATCAGCAGAGCTCGTCAATTTGTTAATGTAACCTTAAACAGCGTCGGGCCCAAAATGTTGCCCTGGGGTACTCCATAAGACAGTTTAGGTTCATCGCTGTAGTATGCTCCAATTTTAACGAATTGAGAGCGGTCTGATAGACAGTTTTTGAGAAGACCTAGAACGGTTCCACGGATGCCAATGTTTTCCAGCTTATTAAAGAGAATTGGAATTGAAACAGTGTCGAAAGCTTTGGAGAGGTCACGAAAACTCCCAATACACTTTTTCTTCTCGTCAAGTTTTTGGTTATGGATTTTGATAAACAGATAAGAGCATCCTCAGTAGATGTGTGGGAACGGAAGCCAAATTGGTTGAGCGATATAACTTCGAATTTGTTGAGGAAGTTGTCTAACTTTCTGTTCATGATTCTCCCCATGACCTTCGACAGAGCTGGCAGTACCGATCTTGGCTTGTAATTGTGTACATTGTTGGCTGGACCGTTCTTGTGTACAAGATGGACTATAGCTTTTTTAAACGCAGCAGGAAAAGTGCCGGAGGAAAAGGGCAGGTTACATATGTGTGTCAAAGGAGCCACAAATACACTACGGCACAATATAATGATTTTAGGGGAAATCCAAACCAGCAGCACAATTTGTACGCAATCGATAGCATTCCGCACTTCAAGTTCGTCCACATTCAGTAATGCCAACGAATTAGGCTGACAGCGAGTTGTGTTTGATGAATAATTTGGAGAATATGTTGTTGATAGACGAAGTCGTCCTGGAAGACTGGATTTGGTAAATATTTTTATTTCAAAAATATTCACTTGATCCCTAGACACTTTTGATGTGTGTATTTATAAATGAATAAAAAAAAAATGACCGCACACACTCATGGCATTAGGGAAACCCTGTATCGCGAATGCAATATAAGCCATCCAAATATTTCTCTCGGCCCAAGAATCGAATCCAGGACCTCTGCGTGGCACATGCATGCTCACCGTTTGGCCACGGAAGTTGCGTGCGGGTGAGGAAATTAGGTGTACACCTTACCCAATTTCGAGCTGGTTTGTTTCCCCGTGGAGGGGATGAATTTGTTTACGGAGCGGTCGAATATGCTGACGAAGAACAACGCCTGCTCGCTGGCGTCCCAGTGCGGGCCCTCGCCGAGCCAAACGGGCGACGTCACTGCCTCCGCGTTTACCGACATCTGTACGTTAAAAAATCTCAAACTTGCAATCTGTTTCAAATATTGAACTTAAATATTCTGGAAACGAATCAAACGAACAAGTTGTTAGGTTACGTTTATATTTCATACTTGGGATTAGCACATTTAGTATAATATTTCATTTTAATATCCATTTACAAGAAACCATATATTAAAAGTGACCGACTTAACTAATCGAGTCTCTACTCAAGTCTGTACTCGATTAGTAAGACGATGGGTGGGAGCAGATTGGTGGGTGGTCAAGGGCTCGATAGGTCTAATCCAGGCAGGCAGTCGGGCGGCTAAAGGCGGCCAATTCGAAAGTATTCCCAGAGCTAAGTGAAAGTGTATTAATAGCAAGTGCTGTCTTGATATATTGGAAAAAAAGGATTAAATCTTGAAAGTGTGTTTGACTCAATAAAGCATAATATATTAACAACTTATTTATTATGACTACGGCTAGATAAAACGTCGCAATGTAAGGGCGCGTTCCCATTCTGTCGTGACGATAGACAGTAACGCAGTTTAAAGTGTCGTACATTTAAATGAAGTTGTTCAGATATGGTACGACACGATTAACTGTCGCTCACGACTTTTTGTCGTTACGACGACAGACTGTCGTGCCAATGGGAAGAGCTAGAACGATAGTCGTCTGACGATAAATAAAACGTAACGATAAAAATGTGACGACTGATAATCGCAGCTTCAAACGATTCTGTCATGCAAACGACAAGGCGGCTGCCGCGAACCGATAAATGTCACGATCTAGCGGGAACAGCTAGACACGACAGTCGTTCAACGATAAAATAAACGTCCACGACACGGTGACGACAGATAGTCGTGATATGGGAACAGGTTAGACGCGATAGTAGTCTGACGATAATTAAACGTTACGACATAATGAGAACGCGCCATTAGTGGGCCACACAACACCTAATGCCTGGTCTCCAATTACAGAATTCACTGTACTGCAGAACACCGGAATTCACTCTGGGGCATTTGCCAGAACACTTAAACCAAAACCGAAAGTTCATTTCCCAAATTGGTTTTACCGGAAATCGAACCCGGGACCTTCTCATCCAGCATCCATAGTGCAAACCGTTGGACCATACAGATTGTCGTCGAGATTACATTCAAAATGCCAGCGGCGTTGCCCTCGACATGGCTATACTAACACACTGAGTTGTCAGCCCATGTGATTAGGTACGTGATTCTTTTAAATATAACATTTATTCAATCCGCAACGACGAGATCCATAGAAGAACCTGTCACAGTTCTAGGTCAAATACCAAGTTAAAATGGACAGGTCATGCAGCTCGAGGAACTGACAATCGATGGGGAGGAAACGGTTAGTCGGGAGGTTGTGGACGCTACTCCAAAACGCATCGTTGGAACACCTATCTAGATGAATCGACGTCTTGGTGAACGTGAAGGTGGCCATTGATAGCGTTTAATTTAGGAATCGTATGTTAATATTACCATAACCTATCATTCATAGCGCCAGAAACATACAAGAGATGTAGTTGATAAATAAGAGAAGAAGGGTTTACTTCAGGATGTCAGCTGTACCTCCCTGAACAGCATATCTTTCTACATTAGTTTTGATTGTAGTGATCCTCCCTACCGGCGCTTAGGGTATATAGAAGGGCACTATAACCTGTCCATGCACAGAAACCTAAGTTCAGTTTCTGATTAGCCAGTGTAGAGGGTTGTCACATACCGTTTTAACTGATTTCATCCGGTTCTCAAGAGGCTAGGGCCTCGTGTGAGCCGCCCCGGGTGCACGTACAGTACCCTCACTATTTTCCACATAGGTACCTCGCTGTACGTTAAGTACTTCATTACTACTTTGTTGCTCTTGCCAACCCACCTGATCAGGACCTGTGTTTAAATCTTCTGGACTGTAATGGGCTGGCGGTGCAGATGGCACACTAAGACCTAAGAGTGACTTCACATTGAAAGATTGGACGAAGCGAATAAAAGCGTTATCATTCGCTGTGTGATCATTTTCTGCTGAATACGAGCTCCCCATTTTTCTCCTGCACTTCCTTTTTTATGATTCGGTAAAACTAGCACTGGCTTTACAATATCACTCAAAATGTGCCTCGTGTACACTTGACCGTGTTCAATGTCGAACTGGTACAAAACAATAAAGTAACAACGAAAGTGATTGCTGTTGCGAGTAAATGCCGTGAAGATTTTATGCAGTTGATAACAGATAACGCGCTCAACAATTGCACACTCGGTACGGGATTTGTTTTAATATCAATTTAGATACGGTCGTCGAATTTGTCTGACGACGTCAAGGCGTGGACCGGACTTTTGTCAAATCCAAATAAAGAAGACTGACAACGCCACGACCTGCGCCAACTGATATTCCAACTTCAATTTAAATACTATTCAACTACACCGTCGAAACTTGACCAATAAGGTTTATTGTAATTTTTTGGACGTATTATAAACATATTTAAATAAATAATGAAGACGATATTATATATTTGTAATGGCAGTACTTTCACTGCCACCTCACCTATTTCTGCCGCCAAGTATATAGTAATATAAGCATTACTGTGTTCCTACTTTGCGATTTAAAGCTCTCAGTGGCACTGCAACTGTTATGTCCATAACAGCCTGTCCAGGCGTGGATCAGGCGCATGACTTGTACGTCCCGTCACTTGATATTATAAAAAAATACATTCATGACTATTCGACTTAGATTGGGTCAAGTTTGTTCCCCTGTTTTTCTAGATCAAATCAAAGTTCGATATTCCCGTTGCGAATGTGAACTAGAGGAAGGCTCCCCAGAACAATTATTTCGTAATGCCTCCAAATAAGCTTCCCTCTTTATGACCTGCCCAAAAATATCCCTCGCCCAATCAATATCAATTATTTTCTGGCCAACGGCCACTCCTCACTAATATTCCCCCTAAAACTCCTAAAACTTAATAACATAAGACTGTAGTCCGCAACCAATTGCTTTATCTCGAGTATACTCAATCTATACTATTCTATTACAACTACACTCTTTTGCAAAAAAAACGGGCACCTAAGGAAATTTACGTTCTAAAGTCGATTTGAGTTAATTAAATGAAATTTATTTCTTTGACTTAGTCTGTATACTTATAATCGTGTAAATTAATGCGCGTGAAGTGAATTCGGGCAATTAAAAGAAAAAAAAACGATGGATTCTTTAAAACCGATGTACACGCCCAAACAATAAGAAGTGGTCGGCAATAAAGACAAGATTTTTTTTTTACTTTTTTTAATTAAATAAAGTTACAAATGTAAAAACCTAATAACGAGTGTGACCTCCTCTTGCCAAAATCACAGCTTGAATCCTTCTGGGCATGCTTTCCACGATGTTTTTAATAACGTTTTGAGGAATACGTTCCCACTCTTCTGCAATTACTCTTTTTAGCTCCCTGATGTTTTGTGGAGCAGGTTGCACTGATCTTACCCGTCTCTTTAGAACATCCCAGACATGCTCAATTGGATTGAGGTCAGGACTTCGAGCTGGCCAATCTAAGCGACTGATCCCAACTTCTTGCATGTACGCTTCCACGTCGCCAGAACGGTGCGGGCGAGCATTGTCGCCCATAAACATGGAATCTTCCCCAAGTGCAGTCAATGTGGGTTGTGCATATGGAATTAGGACTTCCATTATGTACCGGTGTGCATTTAATGTTCCATTTTCTATGAAAACTAACTCCGTACGCTCCGTCGAATTAATTGCTGCCCAAAACATAACGCAGCCTCCGCCATAAGGAGTGATTTCTTCGAAACACACTTCCGCATAGCGTTCCCGTGGTCTTCGCAGCACTCGCCGGCATCGGTCCTCTCCACACAAAGAGATTCTAGCTTCATCAGAAAACAATACTTTATTCCAGTCCTCCAGAGTCCATGAAGCACAGTTCCGAGCAAACTGAAGTCGAGCAACACGGTGCTCACGGAGTAATTTAGGGCCCCGAGCTGGGCGGTAACTCCTGATATTGGCAGCCAAAAGCCTCCTCCTGGCCGTCCACAAGCTAACTTCTACTCCTCTTACTTCTTCAAGGCTCTTCTTCAGGTCCACACTTGACACCTTACGATTCCGCAACGCCTGACTCACCAAAAAGCGGTCATCTCTTGGTTCTGTGCATCGTTTTCTTCCCGAACCGGGTCTTCTTTTGACCGAACCGGTCTCTTGATACCGTTGCCAAGTCCTCTGGACAGTTGAACGACTCACATTTAGCCGCTGAGACACGTAAGTTTGCGAACAACCTTCTTCAAGTAGGGCTATAATTTTACCGGCCCTTATCACTTTATCACTCATATCAAAAAGTTGTATTTAATGTGAAAAGAAAGATTAAATTGTTTAATTTGCAGAAAATATCCAAAAAGTTTTAAAATATCGTAATCAGTTAAAAATCGTTTCAGCAATTCGCGCCATTAGTAAAGCAATTTTAGAATAATCCACAATAATAATTATTTTTCTTTTATTAATTTCAAATTTTAAATTTGGAACGTATAGAATCATGCCCGGATGCTTCAAATAACATTCCAATATATCGTCAAATTCATAAAACCTATTTCTAATTCTTCTTCATTGAAGTAGAGAAAAAAATCAAAAGTGCCCGTTTTTTTTGCAAAAGAGTTTAGATGCTAAGCAAAGACTTGTTTAGTCCAATGCAAAATCCATTCATTAACCATCAATCCATATGTCTAATAACCGCTAAATTATTTTAATAACCGGCAATTTGTCCCATTATCGCACTGGCAACCCGCAGAGTGCCTTACTCGTTCTTAAAGAAAGAAAGAAAGAAAGAAACATTTATTCAGCTATTACAAATAAATATACAAAAAATAATAGTAATGTTAATCTAAATTTAAATTAAAGTATAAACAATTAAAAAAGCAAAAAAATCATATATGACTAAATACATAATAATAGCCGAAAAGGCTAGCCAGCTCAGCTTAATGCTGGGCAGAGCCACAGCGCTGATTTTCAGCTGGAGCCTGGGAAGAGGTAGATGGCTATGCCTATTTGACAAAAACTTAAAAGAATAATAAGTATTTGATCCGTAACCTAAACATTTAAAACAACAATACCCAATTTAGAATAAAATTATTACAGTATGCAGCGTGCTCTTAAATATTATAAAGTAACAAAATTAATAATAATAAGAATGATGTCTGAGTCATAATAATACTAAAATAAATTAACAACTAGCTTTACTAATTGATGCCGTTTATTTGTCCTATTAGCGTTAACTCTTTAATTCTTTTGCCAAAACCAAATAAAGAAGCTGAATTACAAACAGAATTTAACTAACACTTTTAGAATACCGAATAGATACAAATAACGATAAAGTACTTGTGTATACGTAAACTGCATCTTTATAACAGAAAAATTTAAATAGGTTAACGAGAAATACTCACAACTACGTGCAGGCAGAAAGGGAACACAACTTATAATAAACGTTTTAGGAGTTACATTATTGTTTTATCAAAATATATATCTAATCTGTTCACACAAACTGTCAGATTATATCTTTATTATCTCGGTAGCTTTTTACTCTTAGGGAAAGCCAGATAAACAATGATTTTACACACACTCACAATGGATAAATGTGGAAGACTTGATAACATCTTCTATAACATAAACTTGACACTAGTTAAAGGTTTTACGACAATGTGAGTTTTTATGATTTACCTGTGCAATTGAATCCATGGTACACGTTTATTTATTTATTTATGAGATAAGAAGCCTGTAACTAATGATAGTTTGAAAATTTTACGAAGAAGTGCCAACGCCAGCCCTTTGTATTATGGCAATAAAGCACTAAAAACTTTTGCTTTTTTAATTTAATCAGGCACTTCTTCGTAAAATTTTGAATCAGTTATATTTTTTAAATTAATGTAGATAAGAAGCGTATACCTTTAATTCGTGAAAGTAGCAAATAGGTAGCAATTATTGGTAATACATACTTCTGGAAAAACCGCTCCCTTCATGCTGAACAAAGTGGCGACCAGCCGTCCTGACGTCAGAATGGCTGGTCAATTTTTTTTTATTTCTCAGAATATATCAAAGGTAGCAATTCTTGAATATACACTCAGTGCTAGATGCGACAGGCGACCAGCCATCGTGACGGTCACAAAAACTAAACACAGGTCTTTACTGTAGAAAGATAATTTAGCTTTCTATGCTTGTTCAATATTAAATGATTATCACTAAGTACAGGTTTCTTGCCAAAGTACACTATTCCTTTTTATCTTCCCGATATTGCGGAACGGTTACACGCTGCATGGTCACGAGTTGACTGGCCAGCGCTAGATGACGGTTTTAAGAACAGACATATCAGTCTACCCTCTTTCGCTGTCGACAACTACCTTCAAATTGATTTCTTGTGGCGTTACCATTTTTACTCACTTTTTTCCAATAAACCACGCTCACTGTCACCACACGTGAAACCGAAATCGAACTATATTTATTTTCAATGTGAACGTTGTAGAGATTATGTAATAGAGATGAATGTACTTTTCGTGCCCCTGATGGTAAGCTACACGCCTGTCCATAACAGGTGCAGTGCCACTCACAACTTTAAATCTCAAAGTTCTGAAGGGCACTGCCACTGCGCCCGTCACCCTGAGACATAAGTTGACAAGTTCCATGTGCCTGTAATTTCACCAGGACCCCTACCTACTCTTCAAAACCGGAACGCAGTAACGCTGACATTACTGTTTGGTGGCAGAAATAGGTAAGGGGGCAGTACTTCCCTGGACGAACTCTTTCACAAGGAGCTCTACTGCTACTAAACATGTTTGAGTACGTAAAGACTGTCAAGTAACACATCAACCCTCGCTGGGTTGCAAGGCTTTTGAAAACTAAGTTCTATTGACACTGAATTTAATGTCAAACGCTAATTATGAAACAGCCATTTCAGTTACTTATTAACACATGTATATCTTTCAATGTGTTACTTGTCAGCCTTCAATTTAATTACCGTTTCATTCTGCTGAGCAAAGTTTGCTTGAATCGAAGAAAAGATTATAAACAAAATGGTTAAA